AACATGGACCCTCTTAAGAGTCTCTCTCTGTCAGAGATGCAGCCATGATGGTACTCACCGCTCTGTGTCACAGAGGTAGCAGCGACTCAGGGAAGACACCAGCAGGCGGCCATCTTGGTACCCGAGCTGAACCACTCTGGAGTCCACAGTGGTGACAGTCTGAACAGGGAAGATCACGAACGCTGACCCCTGGACACAAAAAAGACAATATCAAATAAATAATCGCTTAATGCATGGACATGAAGTACATAAAGTGGAGACACTGGTTCATTTTAAACATCTACTGGACATAAAATCAGCTAATTCCTTATACTTTTTGCACATTTTACCTATTTATTACAGTCTGCTTAGACTTTACATAGCTAGAAAACATTTTCCAAAGCAAAACCCAAGAGTGAAGATACATTTTACCTTATTTCCATTATTGCATACAATGAAATAAACAATGAAGATCAAACCACCAATATTCACTTCATATTTAAGTCTGGGGAATAAGACAACCTTACTTTGTTGAACTAATTAAGTTCAATTAATGAAGAGTCGATTAGCTTTATTTTTAGATTCTTAGTCAGCTGCTTGACGGTATCTATGATTGTGGACTGTCTAACCTGTAACATGCTGTCAGGTTAGAAGGGTCAGAGAATTCATTAACCTCCATCACCTTAAGGCCTGCTGATTTGATTAAGTTCTGAGACCTTATTACTGTAATTTCCGGACTATAAACCGCTACTTTTTCCACACGCTTTGAACCCTGCGGCTTAAACATTGATGCGGCTAATCTATAGATTTTTACGGGCTAACGTCCTCCAGTGGGCGCTCTAGCAGGAAGCGCTAGAGTGAGACAGACAGGTGGAAGAGATAATGCGCCGAGGAAGATGCTAGTTTGATTGTGTTTTGAATTCATTCAATTCATTCAATCATTTTGCGCATCATGCACACACCCTCATCATGGAAAACACAAGAAGAAATGCACATGATGCAGCTTTTAAGTTAAAGGCAATCGATCTGGCTGTCGAAGAGCTGCTGCACGTAAGCTTGGCATCAATGAATCGATGGAGAGCTGTTGGAGACGGCAGCATTTATTTAATTAAAAATTAAAATAAACTTTCTGTGTAAATATCTCATGTTACAATGTGGACACCTGCGGCTTATAGACAAGTGTGGCCTATATATAATTTTTCTTTTTAAATTTCGTTGGTGCGGCTTATATTCAGGTGCGCTCAACAGTCCGGAAATTACAGTAAACTAGTGTATCAGCTAGAAAGTGCCTAAACTTTTCCAAAAGTCACATTTAATTTATTTTCACTGTCTGGCAGTCCCTACCTTGCCCAGCTTGGAGGATCCTGCACGGAGAAAAGACACCTTGCCTCCGGAGTCCCCAACAAAAACTCTGAGCGTGCTGGTGTCCCAGCAGAGCGCAGTGATAGCCTGACCTCGGTGCTCCCAAGACACACTGACTCTCTCTGGACGCCCCCGCCGCTCTAGCTGCAGCTCCCACACCACCACCAGACCCTGACTGGAGTAGAGAGAAACACTGTGAACCATACGTTGAGTGTAGATGAATATGAAACATTTCTTTAGTTCACTGAGTGACTCTAACCTTGTTGCAACAGCAATAAAGTCTTCATCATGAGGGCAACACGCCACCTGAGTGATAGATCCCTCCTGAAAGAGAGCGCAAGATGGGTTAGATATTAAGAAGAAATTAAGAGAAACTGACAGATACAAATACAACTGTATCAGTTAACAGCAAAACAACATATATATATATCTGTATGTCTGCACAATAGGTACTCAGTCATATATTACCTTGTGTGTGAGGATGAGCCTTTGTTTCCAGCCCTCCCTCTGAATCAGGTGCAATCCTCCGGCGGATGTTCCCAATGCGAGCCACTTCCTTGACACGGCCAGACAGGTACACTGTAACACAACAGGGTCACATATAGAAAGAGTTGACTGATCTGTTCATATACATTGTTAGTGAAACAATGTTGTACCCACACCAGACATATTTCTGCCTTTAAAGTCTGATTAAAAAAGAGTTTTGGTGACATACACAAGGTACAATAACTATTTAAAGTATATATATATAAAAATTCACTCTGTAGAACTTTTAAGATACTAAATATAAAGCTACTATAAATCAACTTCATGTGAGGGTGAAACCTACCTTGAGCCTGCCAGAGTCTAGTCGGAGAGCAGACAGAAGTGGATCGAGGCAGTCAAACTCTGCCAGTACATGACTGTGGTTCTCTGGTACAACTGGTATCAGAGGCATCTTCACTGGTGATCCTCTATAACTGACAGAGAGAGAAGTCAGCAAAGTAGGGAAAACAAAATGTGAGGGACTTGTCTTTGCTCTGCTTCCTCGGATACCGTGGCCCTCAGTGGTGTGGCATCTGTGACTTTCAGTGTAGTTCAACAACCCTCTCAAATTGACCAGTCATGACTCCACTTTACACAGTTTCCAGCCTGTTAAAACTCCCTCATCAGAGCGTAAATCATGTACTTACATGGCAAACAAAGCTACACTTAAAGATATTTTATGATTTAGGAAATGTTTTGTTGACATTTCTGGTAAATGCAACCATGAGGAAGAAACTATAGTCAATAAATCTATAAATATGAATCATCTTGAATGGGTGGGAGTTTCTTTAACTTCCACATGCATACACAATTACGTTTTAGGCCGATTTTTACAAGGAGGAAACTGTTGTCATATTTAGTGTAGTATAAGTGGAGCTGATAGTTAATATTGTCAGAAACAATATTTAAACAGGACCAGAGGACTCAATTCAGATCAAAATGCAGCACAACACACTCTAGTTTGGCTTTTATTGACTTAATGAACTTATGAGGAAGCAGAAGCAAAACTAAAGCTGCAGCTCATCAGAGTAATCAGATACTGCTGGCAAAAAAAAACAACAGTGTGTATGCTACAAAAATGTTTAAAACAAAATGTCCTCAGACGCATTAAAGGAGTTGACAGGGGTATTTTAAAAAAAGGAGAGAAGCAGCAGTCAACTCTGACCTCTGTATCTGTTTGCACTGTACTGCTCCAGGAATGTGTTTGGGGTTTAGGATGTACACAAATTGACCTGCTAAACAAACATGGGGCAGAAATGTAAAATTGGCCCTTATAATGGCCATGTACAGGGGTCCAGATACACAAGATAAAGCTTTACATCAAGAGGATCCAGAGACATTCATAAGAACCTGTTTTTCCCCCCCCACTTGTTTGCTTGAATTTTCACACACTGACAAAAAAAAAAAAAGCACTTCATCGTATTATAACAAACTACCTGATATGTTGAACCTGAGGAGCCATGGGGTGCTTTTTACTGATTGTTATTCATTGTTATTTGTATGTCAGCTTTGTGCCTCGTGGTCAGCGGTGGAGGAAGTACCCAGATCCCTTACTGAAAAGTCAAAGTAGCCATAAACACATTGATTGTTGTTGATTTGACGTGGATGATATGTGTTCTTGTAAATGTTCCCCCACGAGTGTATGTGCTATGTAAATATGTCAATAAAAATAACAAAGTATGCATAATATAAAAGTCCTGTATTGAAAAAGTATTAAAAGGCAACTTCCATCTTGTATCAGGAGTACAAAAGTGTTTATATTTTATTAAAATACCACTATCTATAGCATTAACATGTAAAAAGCCTTTCATTGTTGTAGAAGTTATTGTAAAAAAAACCAAACAAAATCTCACTTATTTGAATTACAAGTCTACTTTTGATTTTCTTTCTAGTTTTTTTTCTTACTAATATTTACACTTGCTTTGGCAATAATTGAATTAAAGTCACTAGAGTTGTCAGATAGATGTAAAGGAGTAAACTGTGCAGTATGTCTCTCTCTGAACTATAGCGGAGTAACAGTGGTATGAAGTGGAAATACCCAAGGAAAGTACCGGTACCTCAAACATGTCTCCTGAAGAGTACAGAACTAAAGCGAGGACACAGACGTTGACACAGACGTTCTAATTAACCGTTACCAACAACGTTCCAACGTTAACGTTAACAACCGTCAACTAACCTCGACATGTGAAGCCTCCGTGCTCACTCGGTCCCGGTTAATGTCACTTTACTGCGGCTCGGTCGACTGGATCACTGGACGGCTCGCTTCGGTTAAAAGTTTTCGTTGAGTACCCGCAGCAAATTGAGCCTATTGATTAAGTCAGTGCGCCGCAAACAACTGAAAGCAGCGATTCAACCGGCTGGTCGTGCATCACGAGACCAGTCTGCTGACACTGGCGCTAACGTTTCTTTCAAAATGAAAATAACTCCGAACATCTTAACATAAAGTAAATACCAGCACTACATAGATATGTTAAATATCTAAGACGGCTTATTTTAATGAATATAAAAATAAGGACTCTGTTCAGTACGCCAGTTAGCCTCAGTGTCACTGTGTTTGCCATAACAAGTTAGCACGCATGCTAGCTAGCGAAGACAGTGATGTTGCCATTCACTCGTTCGTCAGTTAAACTCACCAAACGGTCGGAGTGACACTCCAGCGCTACCGCCCACTGCCTCCACTGCAACCCGCCGGCTTTACATCGCTGCTCTCGGTCACTTTCCTGGGAGAAAGTCGGCGGTCAGTGTCACACCACCCTGACTGCAGCCAGCCGACCTGTCACAGCCTCGCTCAGCTGATGTGAGGACACTTCCTGAAAGTGGTTTCCAGACAACCTACCAGCCCAGGGATGCTGTTCAAACTGGGGTCCAGGGACCAACAGGGGTCCTTGGGTGGGTTTGTAGGTGGTGTAATATTTAATGTAATATTATCCAATGTTTTTGGAAGTTGCTACAAGGGAAAATTGTAATTTATAGTGATCTTTTGGATATTGATTGACTATGAAGACTTCCTTAAGAGGTTTGTGATCTACTGTGACTCTATTGTGGGTGAAGCCCTGAATAACAAAGTATCATGGCAAAAAGAAAACAGTCTAACTTGTGAAAACTTGAGAAGAACGACCACATTAACAATCACAAAAACATAAACGAGTTGTATTAATGAAATACTGCAGTTTCAATAGACAGCAGCATGAACAAAAGCTTTACGCCTCACTTTAATTCAGAGTAACATTTTTCGTCGTAAGTGCAGACAGAGGGTGCAGACATTACAAACCAGTGACAGTGTGATCTGAGTCACACACACACTAATGCACTCGAGTGTGAAATGTCTTTACAGTATTGCTATATTCACGTCGCCTTTTTTTTTTTTGCTTCAAACATGACTCAGTGCTCAGAGGGGCTTCCTCTCTTTGTCTGCTCTGTGTGCTGAAGAAAACACATGTTGGCAAGTCCTCTGCTTGCATCTCACGCCTCAGCCTGTTTGTCCTGAGTGCCCTTCTGACTTTTCCATCTGAATTTTGGTCATGTTACACCATTTTAAAAGTCCCATTTAACCATTAGCGGAACCAATATCTCAACCATTTAGAAAACACAAACAAAAAGGAGAAATTAACTAATTACAGTTATTTGTGACTGAGATGCAGTTAGTCTCTGTTGAACAGTTTTAACAGCGTCCACCTGTGTCTTCATTAAGCCTCTGTGAACCATGTCCCAATCAGGCTGTGATCTGTGGTCTCTTCACAGCAGTCTGGAGAACCTCCACAGGCAATTTGTCCTAATACTTTGTCTTCCTTGTCCTCTCTTTGACAAACCCTCAGGCTCTCAGGTTTTCCTCATCATGCGACGGGTTTGCCAGATGTGGAACTTGCTATAGGCTGTCTGCAACATCTCCTCCAAATGGCCTGTGAGCTGTGGGAAGGTGAAAGAGATTTAATTCAGCCTTGAATAAACCATTATTGTGTCACTATTAATAGCTTAGAGCAGAGTTTCTCAAACTATACCGCCTCTGAAAACATCAGGCTCTCCTAGTACCAACTTTATGACCGATGTTGAAATACAGTAGTGTAAAGCCGACCCTCTTCAGCTACGGAGATTAGCATGTAAAACGGAGGTTTATTCCAATAAGATTATTTATTGTTTACTGTTGTTGAATTGAACAAACTGGTTCTTGAACAGAACCGGATCAAGAAGCAGAGCCCATTTGGTGGAAAAGGTGTACTTCTTGATCTGCACTTCTCTTCCCAATAGAGTGTGTGTTGTGTATATAATAATAATAATAATAATAATCATAATAATAATAATATACATGACCACACAACAGGCTGACAAAATATTACAGGAAATGCTAAATTTCTTTTTAACTTACATTTCAACAACCTCCTAGTTTAAGTATTTTCATTCTAAAATTTGTAGTTTTTTCATAGTATTATATGTTTTTTATATTAATTAATTATACTAATGAATATTTCAGATATTCCTCCGCTACTCCACCACTAGAAGCAGCCGGCGTACCACCAGTGGTACACATACCATCATTTCAGAAACAGTGTCTTAGAAACTTACATTTGTACTTAAGTATTGGCGCTGAATCTTCTCCTGAAAAGGACTAAGCTTCGTCATCTGAAATCTTTCGAGGTTTGACTTCATCTTCATCACCTATGAAAAGTTGGAGATGACAACAAATTTAAAGAAATTCTTTTAAAAAAAACAATACATTTTTGTGAAGATTGACTGGAAACTGTAAAGGTGGTTGTGTTAAGTGAATATTAACTATATACTGACACATACTGATGGAAAAGTTTATTTACAGCCTTGGACAACATATTTCTTTATTTAAACTAATCAAAGAAAGATGTCCACGTGGAAACAAATATATATAAATTAACCAAAGATAAGTAAATATAAAACACCAAACGTTGGGATCAGTGTCAAGCTAACTCCAAAGTATCCAAAGGGAAAATGAAATATAGCAACACTGTTAGGAACTGTTTATATGTTTTAAACCACACAGAAATGTTATGTGATGATTGATTTGTATGAACAATTTTTTGTTTTTGTTTCCAAAAATCAAGGGTGTCACAGGAATAACTCAGTGTGACAATCATTTGACCTTCTCTGAATACGGTGAATATTAGTCACCTTCTCCTCCAGAAATGGTGTGTTTACAGGAAAACAGGACCAGAAGTGTCTCAACAATTCTCCAGCAGCTGCATAAAGGTGCTTTAACTCTCCTTGAACCTCAGTAGGTACCATCTCTGTAACAAACAAAGATTGGAAAGAAAAGAAATGAATTACATTTAAAAAATCTTGGACAGACAAGATTTTATTATTATTTTGTGAGTGTATTGCAGAGCAACTTCACACACTACAGATGTGCTGTGGGCACACATTGATCACCAACTTTCACAGTAAGTAATATTAATGTTATTTAGTGATTGTACAACACACTTACGATTTATGGCTTGCTGTGCTCCTGCCACCATGAGGACGCCACCTGGAGAAAGTGCTGCAATGGCAGAAGTAGCTGCTGTGCTGGACAACACCTATAGAGAGTATTACCGTGGTTAAAAACATACTTTTCAGGTAGACTGGAACTCTTTCTGAATTCGCTTTAAAATATGTGAACAACACAATTAGGTGTACATGATCTTAAATCCCATTTTACGCTCTGAGAAGTTTGGTTATAGTTTGCTATATTTGTTACATTTTCAAGACTGTAGTGAGAATCAGCTGATCCTAATTTGTCACAATCTAAATCATCTGACCAAAGAGCAAATGAAAACAAATACTGAATCATCTTTTGTTAATCATGTGACTTGTAGTATTTGTGGTATTTCTACGCCGACTCGTGATTAGAGTCAAGCATTTCATTGTCCCTTAGACTGCAAAAGTTAAGTGTTTAGTTTGATCTCAGTCAGCTATGACACGAGAAACTTTGAATACGGCCCTCATTACACGGCACATTATACCTATCTCTGCAGGGGGTGGAGCCTTAAACGCTCACAAGAAATGGGAAATCCAAACAGAGTTACAGTGTATGATCTAACCTGAGTGAGGTTGGGTTTGTAATTGACCATCTCATGCCGGATGTGGTTGACAGAGTTGATGATATCCTGGCTTGTGGTATAGTGTTGGGACAGAAGTGGAACAGGACCGTGAGCATACCTGACAAATACAGAGAGAGAAACATAATATTTGAACATGACACCATTAATTTAACCAAGAACACAAACAAAAAATGCAATATTTAACTCCAGGACAAGTTTTATCAGTTGAAAGTGTAAATTCCTGTTTAATGAAATGCAAAAATCTATTTCGAAACAGTACAAAATGAGAACTCTGCTCAGAGGAAGTGGGACTTGCTAACAGAAGCGCCTCTTCCTAAATTCTGCACAGCTGACTTCTGGCTACAGAAGTTTCACAAAGTGAGTCTTTGTTAGAGCTGACACAACTTATAAATGTATTATTTAATTCCTGCCATTTGAAAACATCACCTGCCTGTTAATGTACTATTGTAATAGGTGTTAGATGAAAATATTAACCTCATTAATCACTGCCACTTGGAGTTAACAATGTCTCAAGTTACCCAGGAAGGAACAAAAGGAAAATAAATAAAGAAAATGGAGACAAACTGTACCTGTCAGACTTCTTGAGGTTTAACGCGACTGTTTTTGGTCTGTTTTTCCGTTGCAGGTCTTCATATTCGATGGCTTCTTGTAACCTAACCTAAGAAAGGTTGCCAACGGAAGAAAGGTGACTCAGTCTCTTAAGTAATGACCAAATCTTTTGGAAACACTCTGATGAAACTAGAGCGCCATCATACCTTCTTAACAGGAGGCTGGAAGAAGTCAGAATCTCTTGAGTTTCCATCTGTACTGCTCGTCTCACTGGCTTGGTCTGTCGGTGTTTCCCTTTTTAAAAAAAAGATGCCGTTAGCAAAAAATTAAGACACTGAGCAAGGGAGTTGTTTGAAATGTTTTGCTAAATTGTATTTACCCCTTGCGTGAGCCAGCTGCCAGCACCATGGCACTGTGATGGTTGAACCGCTTTATAATGGCAGCGTTGCTGCTCTCCTTCACCGACCTGTTTAAATTGGAAGTTGAGGGCGGTCCTGAGGAAACTCCGTAACCCTGTGTCACAGAAAATACCAAGTCTTGAGGTGGAGGGACGGAGAGGAAAAGAAAGCTATGCAAGTAAATGAGCAGTATGTGATTGGCTATTATCTTATTAAATCTCACCTCATCTAATGTTTTATCCTCCAACGACAGGAGGTCAACCAAAGGATTCTTCACTCCTTGAACCACCATAGACTTTAACCCTACAGGACACAGATTTCAGACTTTTACATATGTAAACAGATTTGTGGCTGAGCAGGTTTGTTTCCAGTAATGCAAACAATACATACACTAAAATAAATCCTTGCATTTATATGTGAGATTTGCTGAAAATGAAACGCCTACCCTTTTCATCCTGCTTGGCACACTCTGAGAAGATATCCTGCGTTCCTGTGTTGATGCGGTCTCTGTGAAAATAATGGGACTGGAAAAAGCGGGTCCAGAACTCCTTCTCCGTCAGGTTATGAGGCACATTTTCACTATACTTCTGCTTCACTGCAAGTACAACGCAAGTTAATATAAATATATATTCATTCCAATTGTTTATGTAATCACTGAGGAACACCAGAATCAGTCACTAACAGGAATGTACACTGCCAAGCTAAATATATACCAGTCCTTCCTCTCTGGCAGTGTGTTAATCGGTAAAATCCCCTTTTGTTGTCTTTAGTTGAAATGTAAATTTGAGCTTGTAGCAGTCTTTTCCTCGTCTGTTATTACTGTTGCTATTGAGAGGTTAACTTCAGAGTTATGATGCAATGCTTTACCTGCAGGGTATGTCCTGAAGATGGATTCAATAATATCCGCTGTCAGATTGTATCTCAAGCCATTGCAGCCATCTGTCTGAGGTCTAATGTCTGCCTGTAAAGCACAAAAAATAACTTTTCAGTACAGTATGTAGTTAATGCTGATGCAGTGAAATTTAAGATCAGGTCATTTTCAGAATTAGAGGTCTAACTGTGGCAGGATTGATGTACTCACCAGGAAGGCTCCGGATATACCGACTTCCTGTTTGTTGTTGTACGGCGCGGGGTCTGTGTTGTTTATGTCTCCTAAACGGTTGGCCCAGAATTCATCAGCGCTGATCACTTGGCTCACCACGAGATCTTTATATAACTGGAACAGTACTGGATCTTCTTGAAGCATCCTACATGACAAAATAAAAGAACAATATTTGAATTTTAATTAAGAGGAAATTTCCCCAAAAACCTCATTATTAATTTGAACATGAAGGCCTTAATTGGTAAGTTCACAGAACTGTATTTATGTTGTGTAAAGGATCCTTTAAGACCAGAAAAAGATGTTATTTAAACTAAATCATAATTTTACAAAAACTAAATCCCAGACAGTTTCTACCCTCATATACAGTAATAAAATCAATTAATCAATACTACATCTATACACACTCAGTTGCCAGTTTATTTGGTACAATTGACTAAAACTAATGCAGTCTAATAGAGACGCCCTGCAAACAATCTTACCTTCATATAAAGTTAAGTTTTTGTTGAAACTGTTAACTGTATGGTCATAAATTTGTGGTATTGCTCCATTATATTTTTCACTTCCAATTTAAATTTGACGCTGGACTAAATATTAGAAACACCTCTCAGTGTAACACCAACTACAGCCTCCAAAAACACTTAAAAGTTGTAGTAATTTTTAGCAAAACTAGTAAAAGTTAATCTTGAATTTATTTTGTCACACATACTGGCCCACAAGCTCTACAGTTAAAATCCAAAGCTCAACAAAAATGGATCATCATACACTTTCAGACTTCTTTACCCTGTTTAAGGCCCTCAGCCACAAGTCTGTTAGCTCCTACTGAGGATGTAAATCTTCACTATTTGTTGAGAGAAAGTCCAAGTCTCACCTGTTTTTCTCCTCCAGTTCCTTGTTGGCTTTCTTCTTGAACTTGGGCAGTAGCTGCTGTAGCAGTTCTTTGGCAGCATCTCTGTCTTTAAGCGCACTGCTCTCATTGGAAAAGTGGAATGTGGTACTCTCGCCGGTGTGAAGAACCAGCTGCAGCTGAATTTTGGCTTTACCATCTGGGCTGATCTTCTGACCTGTGCAGAAAACAACGTGTAAACTTGACAACTTCCCCAACACATCATCATCATCATCATCATCATTATTCTAGCAGTACTTGTTAACGTCAGGACACTCACAGCGAATATCTGCATACAGGTGGCTGACTGTGAAGCGGTCTTTGCCCTCCGGACCCCATGCTATACGTTCAGCCATCAGATAAAGTGTGCCATCCTGCTTCCTCTGGCGGACCTTCTTCACCACCAGCAGCACCTCCTCTGATAAAGATGCCATGGCTCAAACAACTGAGAAAGCACATAAACTGCCATTGATTATCAATAATACTCACACAGGGTTGATACCACCTCACAGATTAAAGAATAAAACAGGACTTTAGAGAGAAATGTGGAATGACTGAAACCACACATGGTCGCTAGTTGACCTGCAGTTACACGATCACCATCAGCGCCGTTACCGGTAGCAACAATAAAGCAACTACAGAGATATTAATCACTTTGTCTGAGACACAAGCACCAACTATTTCATCTTATCACCACAACAACGACCTGAATAAAGCTCATGTTTCCTACAACGCCTTTTATTCCTATTCCCTGCTAGGTAACGCGATCCAAACACGAAGGCAAGCCACTGTTGTGTTGACGGTTTTATATCAACTTAGCTAACCAGCGTTACGTTAGCTAACGTTACCAGTCAGACAGAGGGGGAAGCCTGAGGGAGAAGTCGCTAATAAAACTTATTTTACCTCAAAATAAATCGATACTGCGGCGAGTGCGTCGCTTTCCCTCAACGCATAATCTCCAACTGGGGTGTTCTTGAATATAAAAATAACTGAATGAGCTATTTTAAACAGAAATTGGACTACTCTAACAGTGAGCGTCCCGACTTCAGCGCCGACATGACTGCAAAGCGGTGTGTTACACTATAAAACGTTCCGGTCGGGATAACAAGCAATACAAATCTTCAGTTCCGGTCGGAGTCTGTTGAACTCTTTATTTACTGCAAGATAATATTTACTGTACAATTTAACCACATTCACAAATGTAATACTAATAATGGTGATTGTAAACTTTATTGAAATAGCACATTTTATACAATTTGACGCTCTATTCTTTATTAAATGCAAACGTCGATATAACCATTTATTAATATTAAATTAAAATGTTAATATGATTACAGCGACAAAACAAAATAAGTAAATGTAATAAACATTTAATAATTTTATTTATTTTATATTTATACATTATTGTATGTATGGATTTAGCTTCAAAAGGGTGGGTGATGGTACAAAAAAAATGCAGTTACAAGTGATTCCAGGCTTTATTTTAATATATGTGATATTATAGAGACAGGCTACATAACTGTGAGTAGTCTAGATCTATTACCAACGACTGCTATTCATCAGACCATCAACCAATGTTGCCAAAGAGTGCTTCATAGTGCTTTTTCATGTGTTTTTCTTAAAAGATGAACATGATATTAGGGTTTTCTGGCCATATTTTCAATATTTCTATGTATACTGGCCTCAGACCACTAAGGTACAATATTTTATAAGATGGCTAACGTGTTATTTATCACCTGATCTTCTGGTTCTGTCCTTTGGAGGGACCCTAAATCAAAATCTTGATTTATCTCCTTAATTATTAAGTTTATATTGGGGTCAAACAAAGTTCAGCTTATTCAAATTAATTTGAGCCCACCTGCAAAATATTCCACACGGTTACTTTACAGGGTAATCCAGCACCTTCTTAATTCAACCAAGATAAAACTATGTGTTAGCAACCATTAATGCTCCCAGGACAAAGGCTAGAAATGTATACATTATGTAGTAAATACAAACATTGTTTGGCTCTTTTACGTTTAAGAAGTAGGCCTTCAACAAGTAAAAATATATTTTATAATTTATATATTATCCTCACTACCAACAATGCATAAAACAAACCCAAGAAAAAAAACAACAAGAACATGATGATGATAAGTAATTTTTTATTGATACTGAAGACATTCAGGTTAGCAGAGGGTTCAGATGTTGGACAAAGATAGTTTTGATATTGTTTACACTCTTTTATTTATACATTAAATGAGTTAGTGTGAGTTCATTTATGTTGATGCTGCTGTTAGAAACAATGAACGTCATTTATAGTCATTTAAAATTCAAATTCATGTTTTAAATCTTTCACATTTTACAAGAAATGTAATCTGTTTTCCTCATAGCATTAATACAATATACTGTATATCTGAAGCCATTCTTGTGTCTTTTATCTCTCAAGTCATTTGCAGTAAAAGGAAGAGAAACACCCCCTAAGAATTAAAACACCATATCATATAGATTGCATAAAGGAACGTCTCCAAAAGCTACAAGAGACACCATGACACAAATGTGTGCTGTCATTATGGGGCACTATGCACACCTGCCTCCCTGACAGTAAATAAGGAAGTTATGACAGTCAGAGTTAAAAAGAGCCAATTTGCAGAGGTGTAGGGAGTTTCAGACCACAACATCTCTGCTGTTTGAAAGGTTTAACTTATTGGCTCGTATTTTGTGGCTGCTGAATACACAAAGGTGTGTCTTTGGTGGTCTTCACATACTGAGTCTGGATTCTCTAGTAGATTTTGGAGAGGAATTGATCAAGTTTATAAAGGTATATTAGTCAGATTTTGACTTTCCAGATGTTTACTTTACACTGTGGTGTCGATAGGACATTCAGCGACATGGCAACCGCACTTGTCAACTGAAATGTAGGTGTGCATCTTTGTGCTGCCATCAGGGCAGGACATCTCCACCTCCTTCTTACTGGTGGCCATTTCTTGACAGCATGTGCACGAATGCATCAAACTGTTGCTCTCAGCAGAGTACCTGTGAATAGAGACAGGATCAGTGTTGGTAACCTTCTGTTCAATGTCAACATTTATCTTAAAAACTGCTCTTCAGGTGGTTTTAGCATCAGAAACTCACATTGATGAAGACGCTCCACAGGATCCCTCACAGGCTGTGATTTCCACCATTACAACTGACCTGCAGTTGTTTGTATACAGATAGGTGGTGTTCTTCTTCATCTGACAGCTGTGGCGAGGAGTACCTGTGAACGACACATAAACACATTTTTCATGTTGCTCTAAAAACGACACACATTATTATTTCTGAAGGAAAATAAAATTACAAATGTATTCATGTATACAAATAAAATGTATACATCATTAGAGGTTTTCAAATAGACACAAATTTGGTGCTGAAACAATTCATAATGATTTATCGATTGGTTGACAGAAAATTAATCATCAACAATTTTGATAGTCAATGGCTCCAGATTCTGAAATGTGTGGCTCTCCTTCTTTTCTGTTGTTTTATATCACTGATAATGGAATATGGTCTCACAAAAGAAGAAAGTTTGAAAACATCATCTCAGGCTCTGGAAATAATGATTTTATTTTATTTGACCTGATGAAGGTTGTAAAGACCAAACTGTTGTGTAAATATAATAAAATGTTTAGTCAGCAGAAAGCAAGGTCCGTGTTCCTTGTTATTTTGAAGTTCCTCCGAAGCACCTGTCACACATTCAGGTGTGCAGAGATTGTTTCTATATAATTTCATTTTTTTGACATTTCACAGACTAAATGATTCCTGCATCCCTAAATCTTTTTTACTTTAAAAACTTTACCAAGGGCTCACTTGTAAGTTAAAGCAGTGAGTGTGGGACTTTTACACGTAAATTAAAGGCTATTACATTCAAGCCCTTGCCAAACGAGGTCACACACTGCTAGAGCTGAAATAGGGTACAACCATAGCGAAGGAGTAGACTACAACAATGAGGAGTATGGCTGAAAACCTAAGAAGTTCTTGACGCTCTAGATAAAAAAGAAACTCTGCAATCAGAGGAGGGATTACAGTCAAGAAATAAAGTGATCCAACATCGATAACCATCAGTGGAAATGGACATATCTCCTTGCTGGGGATAATAATTAATTATAAGCAGGTGTGGACAGTTTGTGTGTAATTACTCTCACTGCCTGAAGGGGGAGACAAACAATTCGCACTGCAGGTTGACATCTTTTAAATTATGAAACTGTTACTTTTAAAGCTTGTGGTTGTGTGAGAGGGTCTATATTTATGTGTAAATACATTTTCAGAAAATATTATATAATGTGTAATTTGAGTAATTTATTATATAGACTCGTACTTACAAGTTTTGCAACAACCGTTAATGTCACTTTGTTCCGTTCCCTGTAATAGAGATACAATATATGGATTGTAACAGAAACAACACTGACAGTATGAATGAAGTATTTATGTATTTCAGCACATTTGGTGTATTTACGTCCCTTATATTTCTACAACTAAATACATTAAGTCATCTATCTGAAAGATGTGAAACTGTTACAGTTTGTAAGATTGAATCAGTTGAGTTATTAACAAATATATTTCTCTGCCAGACAAAAGAATGTAATCTCCATTTCAGGACTAGCTTATACTCACAGGAACGCAGTTCTCTCGATCAAATGCAGGACATGTTGTTTGGTTTTTAAAGATTATAAACTCGTCCTTCACCTTTTCGCAATCATACTTGGTACAGTTATCATTTGGTGGTGACCAAGACTGAGAAGGCTGTCAGAAGTGTAGAAGAGGTCAATTAGTGAACATAAACCATTCTGACTGATAAGACAATTTAAGGTTAAAGACCATTACGCTGTACTTACTTTAATAATGATCTGGGAGTTGAAACCTGGGACGTCCAAAAAGCAGCTTGTCTTTATACATGATCCACAACATTGTCCAGGTTGCTTTTCATACACATAGCCCTGAAAAAATGCACAAATCAATATGGTCTTCAACTTCTATCACTTAGGTTTATATATAATAAGCAATTAGTAGTATTTACAGAACACTTTGATCCTTTAGGATAGATTATTCAAATTAAAAAGACATTGTTTTACATTCATGTGGTATCTAGACATTTGAATGTGCAAAGGTTTAAGATAGCCATCTCTAAGATTTCAGCTGGAACCCAAACTGAGGGCAATAAAGAAGAACAAGAAAAGAGCTTTTTCTTTAAGATTTCTGGTTAGCACACCGCTAACGAGAGTAAACAAGCTTAAGTTAGCGTCTGTGACTAAACACAAAACCTCCCAGCTGACTTCATAAGGAGGCGCAACACGTTAGCATTGAGCTCCTAACTTTTAACTCAGTACCAGTAACCTATTGTTACTCATAAAAACTTTAATTATTATGATTTTGGTGGCTGAAGAGATGCAAACCTATTATTGTGTGCATATAAATAACTTAATAGACTATGAATCAGCAACTGTTACCAGATCAGCATTTCTGAAAGTAAAGCTTACGAGTAAGTGACCCTTGATTAAACGTTGTTGTTTTGTTAAACATTTTTGTACAACATAAAACTTTAAAGGCCTGAAATTAAAATGATTGATTAAAAATACTATACTACATACTACAATACTCTTAATATTTAAATGCAAAAGTACCTCTGCACACTGTTTGTCACACTGCTCCAGATGACACTCATGGGCTTTCAACTTGCTGGTGGGATCCTGAGCTTCAGTGCAGCTGCATGATTCACACAGGCTTTTGGAGAAATTCATACCAGGCTGTAAACAATAAAACGTAAAGTCTGAGACAGTTTCATATGAATGCCAACAAAACATATGTCACTCAACTATATTTAACTTCAATATTATTCCTATAATATTTGTTTGTCGTATACTTAAAACAGCAACAAAGAGATTTCATTTTGTGTTAATTCTGGTGGCTCCTGTGGTCAAAAGCTGTAGTGTTTCCACTGAATTGTTTAATTGATTTCGAGGGGAATCCGACAGAGTCTGACCCGGTGGCAGACATTAAAAATAACTGCATAGAAGTAGCAAATCTTCTCACTGATGGTCTTGTGTGTTTATTCAGGTCATATAAAGGCATCAGTATTACATTGAGACTGCTTTATAATCAGTTTTAAAAAAAAGATTGCAGAGTTTTAGTAACACTTGAACAAGCAAGTATACTCTTAATAGAGCACATTTAAAATATATAAAGTACATCACTCCTTACCTTGTACTCAGTATCATTGAAGACACAGACGTCTTTGGGCACTAGATAAAATGTTAACAAGTATAATCAGATTAAAGGCTTATGCTTAGTTTAGTTTTAGGTGTTTCACACAGCAATACTATAAGTAAATGTAACTGAAAGCTATATGCTTACCACAAAGGTAAGAGGGACAGCAACTGTCATTTGACATGTGGATCTCCAACTTAAATCCCAGTTTGCACTCTGTTGCCAACGAACAACGACTCCTATCACATTCTGTTGGTCAAAAGGTGAGACATTTCCAGAGTTGGTGAGTATAACAGATTACTAAATACTACTAAATTATAAAATTCGAAAAGAGGATTTATTACATTATTTTTTTTAATCTATTATATTTATATTTATAGACAGCAGCAGACACTGCTATGTTTAATCATAAAGTATATATATTAAAAGTGTCTTTTAGGCCAGTAATTTCATATAAAAATTCAGATATTTACAAAAATAACAAAACTAACAACAATAATTGAAAGTATTATGTTTACATTTACAATTCATCATACCTTTGCTGTGTATTATGTTGTTTTTAAGAGAAACTTTTTAATCCTTCTTTAATATAAGTATAATAATATATAATAATATAAATATCTGTAACCATTGTCAATCATATGAATGCATATAGTATTTGTACATGATTAGAAAATCCTTATACAGAAGATAAAAGAAGATATTACACAACTGTTTTCACACACTGAGTATTACTCCCCATGATGAGTAAACTGATGTGTAAATGTGTGTAAAATTGTGAAAGAGATCATACCTTTTCCTATTAAAACATCATAAATGTGTCAGCATAATGAATCACTCACCACATGTCAGTTTCTCACAGCAGTCCACTGTGCGGTTCACCAACACCTCACCTTCCTCGGTACAGGTTATTGGTTCTTGAGTGGGACATGAGAGAGGCTCACACTGAACACTCAGAGTGTCCTCATCACAAACACACTGCTGACAACCACTCTGCCAAGTCTCACCAAGCTGTTTGAGTGGTGGAACAGAGTTAATGTTGTAACAGCAATGAACACACTCTCAATAATGATCATGTATTGTAGCATTTACCTGTTTAGGTTGGCCATCAGGTCCAGTGCAACCTTAAACAATAAAAACAATCAATTTACCTCTACATTAATTCACAACAAAATGATTTGTCTTCACAACCGAAAATGCTCTTACAGGAGGAGACACAGATGTCAGATTTTGGATTGAACAAAGTCATCCCGTCTGGACAGAAACATCCCTCCAAGAATCCATTACAATCTTGGTTCTGGTTGCCATTTTCTCTCTGGCATTGTAGTACATTCTTATTGTATCTAAATATGAAGACAGTTGTTGGTGAAAAACACACATAATAAGAAATTACACACATCATTACAGATAATGTTGTTGTGCTAGCTGCATGGCTCTAAATATAGCAATGTTGGTCTGTTGGTCCTCCACTTTGGTCCAGGCTGAAATATCTAAACAACTATGTGATTGAGTCCATGAGATTTTGTACAGATGTTGAGAGAATTAATGACTTTGGTGCTCCTCTGACTTTCCCTGTAGAGGTTGACATTCATGGTTTTGAGTGACATGTTGCAAACAACTGTCAGATGGATTGGAATACTATTTGGTACAGAAGTTTGCTCCCCTCGGGATCAATTGTAATGACGTTGGTGGTCCCTTCACTTTTTATCTTGTGCCATCATCAAGTCAAATTTTGAAATTGCCCAATACTGCAGATACCAAAATACCTGCAAAACTAATTACCATTTACCATTTACCTTGCATTGCAGGTTGGTACAACAGTTGGCCCACAAGGCTTGTAGACTTTATTTTCTGGACATTTATAGTCTACAACAAGAGAAAGTGGATTTAAACGCTGAAATGATGAAAAAAGGATATCTGAAAATAACATTGTTTACTTTTTACTAAAACAAAACCATCCTACCGCACTGTCCGTTTGTAGCATTCCTCCAGGCTACACAGACAGACGCTTCAGCACACAGCATGGCGTACATCTCCATACTGGAACAACCAAGACTGGAATTTGTGTGGCAAATATCAAATTTACAGGCCTCATAAAATTTATTTGGTGGGATTACTTTGTGGCATTCCTCAAACACCCTTAATGCACAAATAAAAGGAAAGTAGGCTGTTAATCCAAGTGATACTCCAGAATGAATTGACAATATGTGTTCATGTTTATACAGTAAATTCTTACTTGCTGATCAAAATTTCACAAGTAACAGGATCGCAGGGTTGTGGTTTTGATGTTGGTTGTGGTGGGGGAGGCGGCTTCTCACAATATGGTTTTTTCTTATCTGGTACATGCCATTCATGTCCCATCTCAGAGCATGAAGGATGAATCTGGCCATTTGGCAATCTACAGTCGTTTTTCTTGTTATTGTCACAGGTACCTTGAGAAAGTAAATAAAACGTGACAGATATTACAACCCACGTGTTGTCACATTTACTACATCCATTTGCACTTTACTAATAAATCTAACACTGTTTATATTGTCCCATCTATGAATGTAACATTGAGCTTCATTTGCTATTCAAAATGTTTATTCCAACAGCAAATCAAGTATCATCTTACCACACTGTCCCTCTGTATTGTTGTGGAAAAGGGAAAATGGCAATTCAACTTTGAATGAAAGCCATTTGTACATCACAACTGCTTCAATTGCCGGGATTCTCAAAATGAGTTCAATTCCTGAACTTGTAATGATTATGCCGTCTTTAGAGTAGGTTGGGGAAACCAGCTTGCCGTTGACGTACACCTAAATCATTGTTTACATGAAACATTTTTAATAATCAATAAATATATTCAAGTTAAGACATTTTGTTGAAGCAAAACTTACCATGGTCTTGGTCTTTGGGGTTCTCTCCAGTGTAAGAATAACTTCATAGTTTTTGTAATTCACAATCAGGGCTTTTGCACACGTAACAGTTCCAGAGGCATCACAGTTTTCGTTGTCGATAAGAATCGTTAAATTGTGTTCAGGAATGATCTCTTTGACCAAAACATATGTGCAGTTTTTCTGTAAGCTGTAGTACTGGCCATCAAATGTCTGATAATGAGGATCTCCCCAGCCAGAGCAAACACCTGCACATATTAGATTGAAGTTACATTAAAGTGTTACATCAAAGAAAAACTGCATATATTGTAGTTAGCTCCAAGTTTTAAAATGTTGCTTGAATATGACATTTTAAAATGCTTTTATTTGAACTTACATCTGCACTCATAGTGCGGACAACAGTCATCAGAAACCTTAACTGGTGGTAGCTCATTTTCACACATAGGAATGGTGGCTGATTCACATGCCACTTCTATTTCTGTTCCATTGTCACAGGCTCTTGTCTTGCATTTGCCTAAACTCCACGACTCACCATGCTGTAAAGGCCAAAGTAATACTTTTAGCATTCTACTACCAGTAAAATAAATATTATGTTTGAGCCTTCCATTTGCACACATGCACAACATATACATTGCTAATTTATGAAATTCAGGAAGCAAGGACATAATTATATTTATAGATTATAAAATAAATTTATACAGATATAAGTTGAAATACAGTGTGAATGTGTTTTTATATTGTCTGTTAATGTAATTTGTGATTGGACCCCAGGAAACATTTCAGTTTTGATAAAGCTAATTATCCATATAAATGGGGACTCTAATGGAATTGTATTAACGTAAACAGCCATCGACCTTTGTTATAATATTGTGCAACTGCTGGGAAAAGATATTTGATTAGAAAAATTTACTAGAATTCTTCCAGGAAAGAAACTGAGGTGCCTACACATGTTTTCAGCATCAACTGTTATCTTTGAGCCTGAACATAGTGTAGAAACAAAGTACAGTAATTTGAGTTTCTTTGTGTAGCTTCAGCTTTACTTTATTATTTTGCAATGCACTACTGTCACAAAAACATACTGGCATTGATTAAAGGAATTGAGAAACTTGGTGGCATATAATTCTGATGGATTGGATTTTGATAACTCAAAAGAACAATGACAGTAACAGGATACGGATTAAAAACTCATTCCCTTTATCTAAGGAAATTAAATACCTTGTTTTAGGCTTTGTCAGAATAGAGACCCTGAAACTCATTCGGTAAGCGTACTGACTCATTTCCGGTTTCCTTCCTGCTCTGTGTACACTGTTTGGTGCTGTAACGTTAGCTCTGTCAGTGAACGCTAAATATAAATTTGTTTTACTCGTTACAGCGGTTATTTACCCGCTTAACATTTAAACGTAGACTAGTTCTACTTAAACACTTGGAGTTTCTCCCTCTTTTAGCGACTTTTCACTACTTTCAAAGTTTTTTCATACACTCTAGCTTCATTAGCATTAGCAGTTAGCTATGGCTTCTCCCTCTCCTCTGTCCTGCTCAGTGTGTCAGATGTTCAGTTATTCCTCTGCCTCCTTTAAAGATAATGGTACCTGTATTAAATGTAGTTTATTTACTGCGCTGGAGGCGAGGCTCAGTGAGTTAGAGGAACGGCACCGCACCACGGAGATATCTTTAGCCGCTATAGTTAGCCAGCCCCCGGTAGCCGGTGCGGTCCGACCGAAGGTAGCTTCTGTTAGCTCTGTAGATCCCCCGGTAGTTCCCGAGCAGCCGGGAAGACAGGGAGGCTGGGTGACTGAGCGAAGGAAGACTAGAACGGCGAAGCCCACAGGTCACCACCAACCGCTTCACGTTTCTAATACATTTTCCCCACTCAGCGATACACCCGCTGAGGAACCAACTCTGGTTATTGGCAGCTCCATAGTTAAATGTTTCCCTGGGGCCAGAGCGGCGACATTGAATCATATTTAAAACTGCTGGCTAAAGGTAAACGTAAATACAGTAAGATTGTTATCCACGTCGGCGGTAATGACACCCGTTTACGCCAATCGGAGGTCACTAAGATTAATGTGGAGTCGGTGTGTAATTATGCTAAGACAATGTCGGACTCCGTAGTTTTCTATGGACCCCTGCCCAATGTGACCAGTGATGACATGTAAAGCCGCATGTCGTCATTCCACCGCTGGCTGTCGAGGTGGTGTTCAGCAAACGATGTGGGCTTCATTGATAACTGGAAGCCTTTTTGGGGAAAACCTGGTCTGATTAGGAGAGACGGCATCCATCCCACTTTGGATGGAGCGGCTCTCTTATCTGGAAATATGGCGAAGTTTATCTCTAAAACCTGACAGTCCAGAGTTAGGACCAGGAAGCAGAGCTGCTGTCTTACACACTTCTCTGCTCTTTCTTTAGAACAGTCACCCACCCAAAACCCCATAGAGACTGTGTCTGTCCCCCGACCACCTCAATTATTTAAAGAAATAAAAACAAGAGGAGTTCAACATAAAAACCTGATAAAAATTAAAACTAACTCCTCAGTAGCACAAAATAAGAGAATGGGCTGTTAAATATCAGGTCACTGTCCTCTAAAGCTGTTTTAGTGAATGAATTAATATCAGATTATGATATTGATTTACTTTGTCTTACTGAGACCTGGTTGTCCCACGAGGAGTATGTTAGCCTAAATGAATCCACCCCCCCCCCCAGTCATATTAATGCTCACATTCCTCGAGGCACAGGCCGAGGAGGTGGAGTGGCAGCCATATATGATTCGAGCGTTTTAATGGACCCTAAACCTAAACTAAATTATAATTCATTTGAAAGCCTTGTTCTTAGTCTTTCTCACCCAAACTGGAAAACACTGCAGCCAGTTCTATTTGTTATAGTGTACCGCGCTCCTGGACCGTACTCTGATTTTATATCTGAATTTTCAGAGTTTCTATCAAGTTTAGTCCTTAAATCAGATAAAGTAATTATTGTAGCTGATTTTAATATTCATGTGGATGTTGACAATGACAGCCTTAGTAATGCATTTATATCATTAATAGACTCAATTGGCTTCTGTCAGAGTGTAAATAAACCAACTCATTGTTTTAATCACACTCTTGACCTTGTTTTATTATATGGCATTGATATTGACATTTAATAGTCTTCCACATAATCCTTTATCTGACCATTATTAATAACTTTTGAATTCATACTATTAGATTATAAGCCATTAGGCAAACTTCCTACGCAGATGTCTATCTGACAGTGCTGTAGCTAATTTAGGAGGAGATTCCTTCGTGTTTAATTCATGCCATGTCTGAATTTAACAGAGTCCTATAACAACTTTAGTCCCTCTGAAATTGATAATCTGTCGATGTGCTACGGCTCACACATCAACATGACTCTATCGCTCCTATAAAAGGAATTATTAAAACATGGAGATTAGCACCGTGGTATAACCACCAAACCCGCCAGTTAAAACAAATAGCTAGGAAATCTGAAAGGAAATTCAGATTTCTTCCAAATTATCAGAATATCGCTCAAATTGGCAAGATAATCTTAAAATTTATAGAAAGGCCCTCTGTAATGCCAGAGGAGCCTATAACTCAGCACTAATAGAAGAAAATAAGAACAACCCTAGGTTCCTTTTCAGCACTGTAGCCAGGCTGACAGAGAGTCACAGCTCTATTGAGCCACATATCCCCATAAACTTAAGTAGCAATGACTTTATGAGATTCTTTTGTAATAAAATTATTACTATTAGAGAAAAAATTAATCACCAACTGCCATCAACAGTTATCAGTGGCTCTCCAAGTTCAGGGACTTCTGTCAATGTAAACTTAGATATATATTTAGACTGTTTTTCTGCTATCGATCTTCATCAGTTAACTTCAATCATTTCTTCATCGAAGCCATCAACCTGTCTGTTAGACCCGATCCCAACTAGGCTGCTTAAAGAAGTTGTTCCCTTAATTGGCACTTCTTTACTGGATATGATTAATCTTTCTTTATTATCAGGATATGTACCACAGTCCTTTAAAGTAGCTGTAATTAAACCCCTTCTTAAAAAGTCCACTCTTGACCCAGGGGTTTTAGCCAACTATAGACCAATCTCTAACCTCCCCTTCCTCTCTAAGATTCTGGAGAAAGTAGTCGCCAAAGAGTTGTGTGACTGTCTACATAACAATAGTTTATTTGAGGATTTTCAGTCAGGATTTAGAGTTCATCATAGCACAGAGACAGCTCTGGTTAAAGTTAATAATGACCTTCTGACTGCTTCTGACAATGGACTTGTCTCTGTACTTGTATTATTAGATCTTAGTGCTGCATTTGACACCATTGACCATAATATTCTTTTAGAGAGACTTGAGCATCAAATTGGCATTAAAGGAACCGCACTAAGCTGGTTTAAGTCATATTTATCAGATCGCTCGCAGTTTGTACATGTTAACGATGAATCTTCAATAAATACTACAGTTAGTCATGGAGTTCCACAAGGTTCTGTACTTGGACCAATACTATTTACTTTATATATGCTCCCTTTAGGCAACATTATTAGGAATCACTCCATTAACTTTCACTGTTATGCAGATGATACGCAGTTATATCTATAGATCAAACCCAATTAAATTAATCAATTATCTAAATTACAAACATGTCTTACGGACATAAAATCCTGGATGACCTGCAATTTTCTGATGTTAAACTCAGAAAAAAACGAAATTCTTGTTCTTTGCCCCAAAAGCCTTAGAGACTCACTGTCTAAAGATATAGTTACTCTAGATGGCATTAACTTGGCCTCTAGCACCACTGTCAGGAATCTTGGAGTTGTCTTTGATCAGGATTTGTCATTTAACTCCCACATAAAGCAGACCTCTAGGACCGCCTTCTTTCATTTACGTAATATTAGAAAAATTAGACACATCCTATCACAGACAGATGCAGAAAAACTAATCCATGCATTTGTTACTTCAAGGCTGGATTACTGCAACTCTTTATTATCAGGTTGCCCCATTATCAGTACTGACAGGAACTAGAAAAAGAGATCACATCTCTCCTGTAGTAGCTTCTCTGCATTGGCTCCCTGTAAAATGTATAATTGAATTTAAAATCCTCCTCCTCACCTATAAAGCTCTTCATGGTCAGGCCCCTTCATATCTTAAAGAGCTCATAGTACCCTATTACCCCTCTAGAACACTTCGTTCTCTGAATGCTGGGCTACTTGTGGTTCCTATAGTCTCTAAAAGTAGAAGAGGAGCCAGAGCCTTCAGTTACCAAGCTCCTCTCTTGTGGAACCAGCTTCCAGTTGTGGTTCGGGAGGCAGACACCCTCACCACATTCAAGAGTAGGCTTAAGACATTCCTCTTTGATAAAGCTTATAGTTAGGGCTGGATCAGGTGAGTCCTGAACCATCCCTTAGTTATGCTGCTATAGGCCTAGACTATCGGGGGATTTCCCATGATGCACTGAGCTCCTCCCTTCCTCTCTCTTTCTGCACTCATTCATGTTCCATTTATGCATGTTACTAACTTCACTTCTTCCCCGGAGTTCTTGTGCTTTCTTGTCTCGCAGGTTCTTGTCGATCCTGGTGGAGCCTCCTGCCATGGTCCTGCTAGATTGCCGTTGCCAATACTGTTGTTGCTATGCGTCTGTCTGTCTGTCTCTCTCTCTCTCTCTCTCTCTCTCTCTCTCTCTCTCTCTCTCTCTCACCCCAACTGGTCGAGACAGACGACCACCCACCTAGAGCCGGAGGATCTGTCCTAGGTTTCTGCCTTTTAACAGGCAGTTTTTCCCTTGCCCTTGTCGCCAAGTGCTTGCTCATGGTGGTACTGTTGGGTCTCTGTAATTAATGTTAAAGAGTTCGGTCTAGACCTGCTCTATTTGAAAAGTGTCCTGAGATAACTTCTGTTATGAATTGGCGCTATACAAATAAAATTGAATTGAAATTGAATTGAAACGAAGCCAGTTTAGATAAAACTTTGCAGTTCTGACTGAATTTGGGGTCAGTACATGATATGTTTTTATTTTAAGATGGTTAATTTAAAGTATACGTTTATGCAACAAAAGTCAAATACCTTTCTTGGTGGCTTGAGATGTAAACAGTCACTGTGAGGTTGTTTGGTTGTTGAGCCAATTTGTGTTGTGGTGCTTGGTGTGGTAGTTGTAGGAGTAGTAGAGTGGCATGGTCCACTAAGCTTCTCAACAGTGCATGTCCCTCTGCAATATGCAGTGAAACACCAGCCTGCTCCATCAGTTTTATTGTACATGAAGCTACCTATATGAGAATAAAACCAAGGCAGTTAGATCAAAATGATTAGTGATACAAGACAAAATCAAGGGTTACAGCTGTCTTTAAAATGCAACTTTGTGAATACTACATGAATGTTTTCTAAATCAATACTTGAATGTAAAATGTAAAATCCTTGATCGGATACAAATGATATCATAAATAGTTCCTGGAAAAATACTTGTCAGTTGTGGTCATTAGAGTCAGACTGCTCAGTCATAAATAGAATAAAGATAATGTATGAATGCAGACAAACTCAGAATTTGGATTCTGATCTTAGATCTCAGTGCAAACAGGATTTCACCTCAGAGCATAAACACCTTACAGTTTAAGTTGTTGTGCCAGGTTTACCATGTTACATTGTAAGGACAGGTGTAACGATGATCAAAATGTTACAGTGATAATATGTACGACAACTAATAACGAAAGCCTGTTGCTTACCAGGAGAGAAAATTTGATCCATGTACTTGCAAAAACATATGGTTGTTCTTCCTGGGGTTGATGACTGAGAAGTTACAGTTGGAGTTTCAAGAGTGGTCTTTTCTGTTGTTGCTGGGGTACTCAGATTTTTCATAGTTGTTGTTGTTCATTTTCTGTCAGGCTTGTTGTGGTGGGCTTTCCTGTGGCTTTTGTAGTTGTACCCATGACCACATGTCTTGTTTGTAATGTTGAAACCACTGTACCACCAGTTACAACAGCAATTGTTGTGCTTGTTGCTTTTTCTGTTGTGGTGGGTTTTTCTGTGGTTGTTGTTGTTACCTTTTGTGTTGTGGTGGGTTTTTCTGTGGTTGTGGTTGTTTCTGTGGTTGTGGTTGTGGGTGTTTCTGTGGTTGTTGTGGTGGGTGTGGTTGTGGGTGTTTCTGTGGTTGTTGTGGTTGTTGTGGTTAGGGGTGTTCCTGTGGTTGTGGTTGTTGTGGTGGGTGTGGTAGTGGTTGTGGGTGTATCTGTGGTTTTTGTGGTTGTTTTTGTAGTTGTTGTGGTGGGTGTCGTTGTGGGTGTTTCTGTGGTGGTTGTGGTTGTGGGGGTTTCTGTGGTTGGTGTGGTTGTTGTGGTGGGTGTGGTTGTTGGTGTTTCTGTGGTGGTTGTGGGTGTGTGTGGTTGTGGTTGTTGTGGTGGTTGTGGTTAGAGGTGTTCCTGTGGTTGTGGTTGTTGTGGTGGGTGTGGGTGTTTCTGTGGTGGTTGTGGGTGTTTCTGTGGTTGTTGAGGGTGTTTCTGTGGTTGTTGTGGTGGGTGTGGTTGTGGTTGTTGTGGTGGTTGTTGTGGTGGTTGTGGGTGTGGTTGTGGGTGTGGTTGTGGGTGTTGTGGTGGTTGTGGTTGTGGGTGTTTCTGTGGTTGCTGTAGTGGGTGTGGTTGTGGTGATTGTGGGTGTGGTTGTGGGTGTTGTGGTGTGTGTGGTTGTGGTTGTTGTGGTGGTTGTCGTTAGGGGTGTTCCTGTGGTTGTGGTTGTTGTGGTGGGTGTTTCTGTGGTGGTTGTGGTTGTTGTGGTGGGTGTTTCTGTGGTGGTTGTGGTTGTGGGTGTTTCTGTGGTTGTTGAGGGTGTTTCTGTGGTTGTTGTGGTGGTTGTGGTTGTTGTGGTTGTTGTTGTGGTGGGTGTGGTTGTGGTTATTGTGGTGGTGGTGGTTGTGGTTGTGGGTGTTTCTGTGGTTGCTGTAGTGGGTGTGGGTGTGGTTGTGGTTGGGGTTGTTGTGGTGGTTGTGGGTGTTTCTGTGGTTGTTGTGGTGGTTGTGGTTGTGGGTGTTTCTGTGGTTGTTGTGGTTGTTTTTGTGGTTGGTGTGGTGGGTGCGGTTGTGGGTGTTTCTGTGGTGGTTGTGGGTGTTTCTGTGGTTGTTGTGGGTGTTTCTGTGGGTGGTGTGGTGTGTGTGGTTGTGATTGTTGTGGTGGTTGTGGTTAGGGGTGTTCCTGTTGTTGTGGTGGGTGTTTCTGTGGTTGTTGAGGGTGTTTCTGGGGTTGTTGTGGTGGGTGTGGTTGTGGTTGTGGTTGTGGTTGTGGGTGTTTCTGTGGTGGTTGTGGTTGTGGGTGTTTCTGTGGTTGTTGAGGGTGTTTCTGTGGTTGTTGTGGTGGGTGTGGTTGTGGTTGTGGTTGTGGGTGTTTCTGTGGTGGTTGTGGGTGTTTCTGTGGTTGTTGTGGGTGTTTCTGTGGGTGTTGTGGTGTGTGTGGTTGTGGTTGTTGTGGTGGTTGTGGTTAGGGGTGTTCCTGTGGTTGTGGTTGTTGTGGTGGGTGTTTCTGTGGTGGTTGTGGTTGGTGTTTCTGTGGTGGTTGTGGTTGTGGGTGTTTCTGTGGTTGTTGAGGGTGTTTCTGTGGTTGTTGTGGTGGGTGTGGTTGTGGTGGTTGTGGTTGTTGTGGTGGTTGTTGTGGTGGGTGTGGTTGTGGTTATTGTGGTGGTTGTGGTTGTGGGTGTTTCTGTGGTTGCTGTAGTGGGTGTTGGTGTGGTTGTGGTTGGGGTTGTTTCTGTGGTTGTTGTGGTGGGTGTGGTTGTGGTTGTGGTTGTGGGTGTTTCTGTGGTTGTTGTGGTTGTTTTTGTGGTTGGTGTGGTGGGTGCGGTTGTTGTGGGTGTTTCTGTGGTTGTTGTGGTGGATGTGGTTGTGGTTGTGGGTGTTTCTGTGGTGGTTGTGGGTGTTGTGGTGGGTGTGGTTGTGGTTGTTGTGGTGGGTGTGGTTGGTGTGGTGGGTGCGGTTGTGGGTGTTTCTGTGGTGGTTGTGGGTGTTTCTGTGGTTGTTGTGGTGGGTGTGGTTGTGGTTGTGGGTGTTTCTGTGGTTGTTGTGGTTGTTCTTGTGGTTGGTGTGGTGGGTGCGGTTGTGGGTGTTTCTGTGGTTGTTGTGGGTGTTTCTGTGGTTGTTGTGGTGGATGTGGTTGTGGGTGTTTCTGTGGTGGTTGTGGGTGTTGTGGTGGGTGTGGTTGTGGTTGTGGTTGTTGTGGGTGTTTCTGTGGTTGTTGTGGTGGATGTGGTTGTGGGTGTTTCTGTGGTGGTTGTCGGTGTTGTGGTGGGTGTGGTTGTGGTTGTTGTGGTGGGTGTGGTTGTGGTTGTGGGTGTTTCTGTGGTTGTTTCTGTGGTGGTTGTGGGTGTTGTGGTGGGTGTGGTTGTGGTTGTTGTGGCGGTTGTGGTTGGTGTGGTGGCTGCGGTTGTGGGTGTTTCTGTGGTGGTTGTGGGTGTTTCTGTGGTTGTTGTAGTGGGTGGCGGTGTGGTTATTGGACAAATGTCAACAATGTAGGTGCAACAATGGACTCGTACTTCATAGTTATGACATTTACCATCACTTTGGTCTTTGTTATGACAAGTCAGTCCAACTGCTGAATCGCATGTTACGTTTTGACCAAGGTCATTTAAAGATACATCAGGTAGTAGGGTTGATCTACATTCTATTCCCAAAGGTTTTCTGCAATCAGTCAGATTTAGATCAGTAATTTTATCAATGGGTTCATACTCTCCACCATTTCTGGTTTTGTCAGGGTAATGATTGCTCATCCAATCTGACCACTTACAAACAAAGCAGTTAGCGGGTGTTTCTGTGGCTGTTGTGGTGGATGTGGTTGTGGGTGTTTCTGTGGTTGTTTCTGTGGTTGTTTCTGTGGTGGTTGTGGGTGTTGTGGTGGGTGTGGTTGTGGTTGTTGTGGTGGGTGTGGTTGTGGTTGTGGGTGTTTCTGTGGTTGTTGTGGGTGTTTCTGTGGTTGTTGTGGTTGTGGGTGTTTCTGTGGTGGTTGTGGGTGTTTCTGTGGTGGTTGTGGGTGTTATGGTGGGTGTGGTTGTGGTTGTGGTTGTTGTGGTTGTTGTGGTGGATGTGGTTGTGGTTGTGGGTGTTTCTGTGGTGGTTGTGGGTGTTGTGGTGGGTGTGGTTGTGGTTGTTGTGGTGGGTGTGGTTGTGGGTGTTTCTGTGGTTGTTTCTGTGGTGGTTGTGGGTGTTGTGGTGGGTGTGGTTGTGGTTGTTGTGGTGGGTGTGGTTGGTGTGGTGGGTGCGGTTGTGGGTGTTTCTGTGGTGGTTGTGGGTGTTTCTGTGGTTGTTGTAGTGGGTGTGGGTGTGGTTGTTGGACAAATGTAGGTGCAACAATGGACTCGTACTTCATAGTTCTGACATTGACTATCACTTTGGTCTTTGTTATGACAAGTCAGTCCAACTGCTGAATCGCATGTTATGTTTTGACCAAGGTCATTTAAAGATACATCAGGTAGTAGGGTTGATCTACATTCTATTCCCAAAGGTTTTCTGCAATCAGTCAGATTTAGAACAGTAATTTTATCAATGGGTTCATACTCTCCACCATTTCTGGTTTGGTCAGGGTAATGATTGCTCATCCAATCTGACCACTTACAAACAAAGCAGTTAGCGGGTGTTTCTGTGGCTGTTGTGGTGGATGTGGTTGTGGGTGTTTCTGTGGTTGTTTCTGTGGTTGTTTCTGTGGTGGTTGTGGGTGTTGTGGTGGGTGTGGTTGTGGTTGTGGTTGTGGTTGTGGGTGTTTCTGTGGTTGTTGTGGGTGTTTCTGTGGTTGTTGTGGGTGTTTCTGTGGTTGTTGTGGGTGTTTCTGTGGTTGTTGTGGTTGTGGGTGTTTCTGTGGTGGTTGTGGGTGTTTCTGTGGTTGTTGTAGTGGGTGTGGGTGTGGTTGTGGTTGTTGTGCTGGTTGTGGGTGTTTCTGTGGTTGTTGTGGTGGGTGTGGTTGTGGTTGTGGGTGTTTCTGTGGTTGTGGTTGTGGTTGTAATTGTGGGTGTTTCTGTGGTTGTGGTTGTTGTTGCCTTTTCTGTTGTGGTAGGTTTTTCTGTGACTGTCAAAAAGAAATAAAAGACTAAGTCATCAAGTTGTATTTAAAGGGGTCAAAATCTACACCTTCCACACTACACTGTGCATTTTTGAGAGGGTCTTACCAGTTGTGTTAAAAACAAAGACTGTTGTTGTTGTTGTTGGTGGTGGTGTTGAAGTTTCAGAGCAATCCTCTATGGTTCTGATAATATTTCCATTTTCTCCACAAACAGCAGTCATACAGGTTCCATCTCCATCATGTGTGTCATAGATTTTATCTCCATACTTGTATGTCAGTCCTTTATATGAACAAGTGCAAGCTGCAAAAGAAATGATTATAATATAATATTTATTGTTTTAATAGATAGTATTGTCTTTTTGGTTTTTATAGGGCTGGCCATGAAAAGCTGATGATTCAAGTCATCAGTCAAGAAGACCCCAAGTCGACTTGCATTTTGTCAGTCAAATTTGTATTATTATTATTATTAAGACAGAGCAAAGCGGGAGCAACAGCATGGCAAGCTATGAAAATGAAATGAATGAAAATTCGTGTAGTTGCGTTTCCACCTGATACAGGAGTTTAGTGTGCCGCTGAACTGAAAGGAAAAAGGAACGAATAGTCGTATCGTGATATTGGACAGCCAAATCCAGAGTTAGGTATAGCTCCTAATCTTCATATTATCTGGTTTCTTAGTGACAACAAATAAACACAGTAATAGTCAAAACCACACTCACCTTGGACATTATAGCTGCACTCAACTGTTGTTGAAGAACAAGCACTAAAAGGTAAATGAAGAAAGAAGGTTAAACACAATGTATGAATATAGAGGGGGATCAGGTTGATGTTGCCATAGGGCGTGGAACTCAGTACCTGACCAGCAAACTGGTAATTTTCTCTGCTTTGGTATCTGGGTAACTACTAATTCTTTCCCTGATTGTCAGCAGTTATTTTTGCACGTAATCGTCAAATCCAACTTAAAATAATTTCAGAAATAAAAAATACAACATGCAAAAAACTGGGCATATTTAATCCCATTTTCATTTTGGTTGTGGCAGCTCAGCGGTATTTAACTGAAAATGTTTATGGTATGGATTGTGATGGCAAATAAATTAACGAAGTATTATGTATGGAAAACATGGTGACAGTAGGATCTTCAATTTGTCCGGAAATTAGAATTCAACTTCTGTAGGACCCAGACAACAATAAGTTTTGTCTGAGGAAAACTCTCCGCTAATTGTGGTAAACATGACAGGGAAAGCCCACTGCCCTACAAGGTGTCCATTATTAGAAATGAATGGACAACTTGCAGGACTCCATGAGGTCCATTAATTCCTGATTATGGACCAAAAATAAAAGCAGTGGTTCCCAACCTGGGGTCCAGAGATCGCAGGGGGTGCACACAACTTTGTCTGCTGAGGTTCTGAGGTTGCCAAAATTATATTTGTGCACATTAAATTTATAAAATCCCAATAACACACCCAATTGGATAATCAAAACTCTGTATAATCCAAACTGAAACATATTTTTGGTCACATATAAATTCATTAAGCTATTTATTACCAACAACACCCTGACCTCTGAACTTGCGTAAGCAACCTTGTCGTCTCCTCCGGTCAGTTGGCGGGCTAGGCTAGACCTGGGTAATTCATCCCTGATTGTTTTCCTGCTGTCAGCATCACTTTATGAATAAAACATAAGCTAGCTAATGATAGCATGAAGCCAAACAAACTGAAACAACACCAGGAGACCAAACACCACCAGACTATTGGTGAAAGTCGAGAATATTTTGAGAGGAAGAAGCGAAAACTGTCCCACTCTCAGACAACACTGTGAAAGACAGAATTGATAAAATGGCTGCGGATTGCCAAAACCAGCTGCACGAGAAGCTGAGGAATGTTAACTTTGCCATTCAGCTGGACAAAACAACAACAGTGTCAAACGAGTCCGTCCTCATCGTTTATGTGCAGTATATTGATGGCGTGGACTTGAAACAAGACATTATTTGTCTACAAATCTAGCAACAACAACAACCGGCCAGGATATATTTATGGCTGTGGAGTCATATCTTTCATCCAACAATCTCCCCTATGAAAACCTGGTCGCATGTTGCACTGACGGGGCCGCAGCAATGATGGGCAAAACAAGGGGTTTAACAGCCGCCTTGGAAAAAGCCCCAGGGAGCGTGATTTTCCACTGCATGCTACATCGGCAAGCAGTGGCATGTAAAAAACTTTCAGAAGACCTTAGTAACACCCTGTTAACTGTTGTTAAAGTTGTAAACTTTATTAAAGCTCTCCCATGAAACAAGAGACTTTTTGCCGAGCTGTGCGAGGATGAAGCGCATCAAACACTGCTGCTACACACAAAGGTGCGGTGGTTGTTGCGTGGACAAGTGCTTGTGTGTTTTATGGAACTGCAAGAAAAAATCAAGGAATTCTTGCAAGATCTAACTTGACCACTGTGTGAACAGCTGACTGATGCGTTTTGGATCAAAACGGCATACCTGGCGGACACATTCCCACTCTACAATGAGACGAACAAGCGGATGCAGGAGCTGAATCCAGTGTCATCCAGTGCAAACACGCCCTGGACGCTTTTGTGCGCAAACTGGATTACAGAGTTGAAAAAATGTCGAGCGGGGAATTACAGCATTTTCCACTGCTGCTGAAGCAGTCTGCTGGCACTGTGCGTGCGTCTTTACGCACCGAGTTTTGGATTGTCAAAGGACAAACTGTTGCTCCCAGACTGGCCAAACACGCAGTAACAAGGGTTATTCTCCCATTCAGCACTACATACTTGTCTGTGACAGCATTCAGTGCCCTTGTGACAATGAAAACAAAAGCCAGAAACAGACTTGATGTCCACCAGGACTTTAGACTGGCTGTCACAACCATCACACCTGACACTGCACTGGCTTGTCTTGGACACAGGCAAGGGGGGCTTCAAGGAAAAAAGGTTGGGAACTACTGCCTTAAAGGACATTACACCATGGTCACTTTTCATGTGTTTGGCAATCAAAATCTAAAGTTTTTTATGAACCATAACAAACACCCGTGGTCCTTCCTAATACCTGAAAGAATAATTACCAGCCCATAAGTTTCTAATGCAATGGAAACTGTGTGGTATCATACCATGGTCTGAGTGTAGTAGTGAATACTTTTTTGATTTTCAATTGGCTGCAGGGTGTACATTAATTCCTGATGTAGGACACTTACACATAGTTTCAGTGAAACTGTCTGTTAACTGTTCCCTATCCCTATTAAAATAATGATCTTATTTTTTCCTTTGGCAAGTGACCATTGTATAAGCTGAATGGATAATGCCCATCGTGGTGTCCATTATCAGGAATTAATGGATGATGTGGAGGCTGCATTATCCCTACATATTGTAAAAACATTTTAAAGGTGACCACTAACTTCTGCACCAACTGAAACATCAAGATTATGTAAAGTGTCCTACCAGGATTGACAGTTTTTCTTTGAAGGTATGACCTCCCCTTCTGTGTAATGCTTCCCTTCGTCATCATAACAACCGCATTCCTCCTTTGACACACACTTCATGGTAGCTTCTTCCAAATAAGATTGTTCAGGTGGACATCTTGGATAGCAGCCTTACAAACAAAAAGTCATTAACACGACAGTTAGCACAACTGTGCTTAACCAATAGACTTTGGTACAAAAAAAGTAGGCATGGTCAATCAACTCTCCCTAAATAATTCTAACCCTAAAAATACATATACTACTTTTATGTCATTTGTACCTTCTAATGCTGGAATGTTATTGTAGCATATCCCTGAGGGATTCCTGCATGTCTTCATGCATGGTTTTCCACAGGACTCATAGTGCCATTCACACTCTCCATCAGGGTTGTAATAATCACAGAACAGAGCTGATGAGACAAAAGAAAGGAATATTAACAGGATACAAGAAAAGATAAAATTGGTACATATATAATTAAATGACGAAGGTGGTGTTGCTGACAGATGAACATGCATTGGATTTTTGTTTATTTCCTTTCATAAACACTCACGGCAGATTGTGGGAGTTCTCCATTTCACACAGGCTCCAGCCTTGTTACAGGCTGCTGCGTAGGCAGCTACAGCCGAGCAGAAACACTCACAATCTCCTCCTGTATTGCAAGCACATGTGTCTTCCACACAGGCATCATGATAATTTTTTGGATCCACCTTTTTGAGGAAGAAGAAGCTGAATTATATTCTGCTAGCTACTTATATAGAAAGTTATTGTGTAGCCATTGTTCAGCAGTTTCCTTACCTTTGAATGGCAACTTGCAAATACTTCCTTGTTGATAATTCCGCAGTGTTTTAATGCCCATGCCTGCCTGTGTGAGTACATACTGCAGGGATTTTTTAGTGCGTTTGCATTAGGGCAGGTGTGTGACACTTTCCAGCTGTTTCCAAACTCAAGGGCTTCAACCACAACTTCTTTGTTTCTGGTGGTGAAATCGTTCTTGATATTCCCATCATAATTCCCACACAGGCCGCAGACTTTTCCCTGGAATAAAATGAGATCTAATTAATTTGTAAAAAGGCAACCAACCGTATTAACATTTACTTGAATACCCATGTATCTGCTCACCAACCTTGAATGTGGGGCTGAGTTTGATCATGAGTGTTGTCTTCTTATTCCAAATGAGAACAAGACCATTCTTTGCCTCAATTACCAGATATATACCCATAGTGTGGACCTGATAGGGTATTTCCTCCCCTTTGCTTTGTTTGATAACTCTGATATTTTCCTCAGAAAGAATAATTTCATTGTTCTGAAAGAAACAAAACATGCTCATGTAAAAGTTAAGTTCAGCATTTTAAAAAATATTTTAAATCCATGTAATAGTGTTATTTACCCCCAAGTACAGCTTGATAGCAGTGGAGCAGATGCTCTCAGTTGTCCCACATGGGATGCTCTCCGTCAGGACCCTGAAGGTGCCATTCATATCGTCCCCACAGTAATCCTGCAAGATATTGATGTCAGTATCACAAGACTGAAGTTTTTGACAAATCACAAAAATTAAACATAGGTTTGTGCTATACCTGAGTGAAGACGTAGCCACAGTCGCCATGAAAGGAGAATCTCTTTTCATCAAAAAGTGATGTAGTGCCCTTCTCCATATATGGTACAGGTTCCATCACAATCATTATCTGTACATTCCCATTTTCTGCTTTTGCAAGTGCTATGATTTAAATAGATGAAGTAATGTCAAGTTATATATCTCTAATTTAAATAGGGAACTGACACAGCACTACATTGGAAAAGATTAAAGGGCTCACCAGTTATTGCAGTCCACAGTGATTGTCTGTCCAGAATTATAGTATTCTCCACCATATGGGCAGGGACAGTCCTCCTCCTTTATACAGCCTCCTTTACCATCTGACAGCAGGCCATCGGGACATACACAGCCTGAGATACACTGTGTACTAACCTATACAGTGTAACAGCAAGTTATTCAACATGTCATCCTGTTACTTTAGTAAAGTGTAAAATATCCATCAGCAGTCATGAACCAGTCTCTCAATCTTACGCATTTGTTGTCCAGTGTCTGGCAGCTCCTTTGGCACTCTGATCCCTTCACACCTGGCTTTGCACTTGAGCAGTTGAAGAAAACCATTGGATCGGTGCAGGCTGATGACAATGATAATGTTACAAAGGTGTTGCTCATACCGTACCTTTCTATAGAAGGAATACTATGACGTTATACCTACATTCACTTATGTGGCTTCCTGTACAGCTTAACTTTCCACTGTGGCAGGAGCTGAAAGGCACATAAAAAGGGCAATAAGAAATAAGAAAGAGAAATGTATTTTTTTGTTAATTCTTGAAAGTGTCTGCTCAATTTATCTTACAAAAACTAAGATAGTAGTTCTCAACTAGTCTAGCCTTTAGACGTTGTCTCATTGTCTACACACAGAGGCTAAATTAACAGTAATTACATTGGTCTTTTCTCTGAATGGAGAGGATTGCAGGGAGCTAGAAACTATTTTAGGTCCGTGTATCATTTGGTCATTGGATTTTCCTTTCAGAAACGGGTATTAAAAAACAGAAAACGAGTGGTTATTTGATTTTCGTTTTAAAATACAAAAATTCAAATTGAAATACAAGGCGTTTTTCTTTTTCATGGTCAGAAAGGGATGAGCGAAATTTAAAAAATTATTCGATTTTCATTTTCTATTTCATATAACAAAATATAAAATCACTAGAAAACAGAAACGGAAAAAAGACTACAAGTATACTTAATATCAAGCATTTTTACTGTACCAATGTGGAGAAATTGAAGAATAAAAGTCCCATATTTATACTTCCAGATTCTATATTTTCTTATATTTGAGCTACTGTAAAAATGTAAACTGTATGTGGAACCACCTGCAACAGCTGTCACACTGAATAATATAAAAAATAATATGTGAGGAAGAGACAGTAGGTACAATGGTGTTTTGAAGTTAAAACTAATTATTTTTCCCTTTTACCTACAAATGGACACAGCAGAGCTGCAAAATAAGAAGAATGTGGACTGGCATTGCATTTTGTGTGAAAAGTAAACAAATTAGAATTGTGTAGGATTTTGTGTTTAGTGTTTATATTATCAAGATGTTATTAAACATTTGTGTGAAATTTTGTCATGATTACTGCAGCATTATTGAAGTATAATGAAAATGCTTCACCCATAGCCAGGAAATATTGAGCAATATGTTTTTACAGTGGCTCAAATATATGAAAATACCACTTGGAGGTACAAATATGGACTTTTATTGTTGAATTTCTCCAAATTGGTACAGTAAAAATGCTTGATATTAAGTATGTTTGTAGTCTCATATGTGTAAAAGTCAAATATACCATCAGTAGCCAGGAAACACTGAGCAATATGTTTTTACAGTACCTCAAATACGGTCAAATATGCAATCTCTGGACTTTTATTTTGGCATTTCTCCACACTGGTGCAGTAAAGATACTTGATATAAAGTGTTTTTTATTCATCAGGGGCGCATGAAACACTTTAATGTAACATATTTTAATTATAGCTTACGGCTCTAAATACCTTTATTTTGAAAACCAGAAGTAAATACGCTGTTTCTCCGCATTTACCATAATGCTGAGAATACTTGTACACTCTAAATTTAAGTGCGGCTGATTTGACCACGGAGATCGGACTCACGGCTGGATTGACCGCAGTCTACTAGGCCACTGTTTCTTCTACACAGCACCGTCCTGTTAATGACAACATCCGGTCTCAGAATATGAATTAACAGGCCTTTTTCCGTTTCTGTTTTCTAGTGATTTTATTTTTTGTTATATGAAATAGAAAATGAAAATCGAATCATTTTTAAAATTTCGCTCATCCCCTTTTGACCATGAAAAAGAAAAACGCCTTGTATTTCAATTTTCATTTTTGTATTTTAAAACGAAAATGAAATAACCACTCGTTTTCTGTTTTTTAATACCCGTTTCTGAAAGGAAAATCCAATGACCAAAACATACACGGACCGTAGAAGAAACAGTAGCCTAGTAGACTGCGGTCAATCCAGCCGTGAGTTCGATCTCCGTGGTCAAATCAGCCGCACTTAAATTTAGAGTGTACAAGTATTGTCAGCATTATGGTAAATGCGGAGAAACAGCGTATTTACTTCCGGTTCTCAAAATAAAGGTATTTAGAGCCGTAAGCTATAATTAAAATATGTTACATTAAAGTGTTGTGCCCCTGATGAATAAAAAAAACACTTTATATCAAGTATCTTTACTGCACCAGTGTGGAGAAATGCCAACATAAAAGTCTCATATTTATGCCTCCAGAGATATTTGAACATATTTGAGGTACTGTAAAAACATATTGCTCAGTGTTTCCTGGCTACTGATGGTATATTTGACTTTCACACATATGAGACTACAAACATACTTAATATCAAGCATTTTTACTGTACCAATTTGGAGAAATTCAACAATAAAAGTCCATATTTGTACCTCCATGTGGTATTTTCATATATTTGAGCTACTGTAAAAACACTTTGCTCAATAATTCCTGGCTATGGATGATATATTTGACTTCTACACATCTAAGACTACAAGTACACTTAACATCAAGCATTTTTACTGTACCAATGTGGAGAAATTGAAGAATAAAAGTCCCATATTTATACTTCCAGATTCCATATTTTCTTATATTTGAGCTACTGTAAAAATGTAAACTGTATGTGGAACCACCTGCAACAGCTGTCACACTGAATAATATAAAAAATAATATGTGAGGAAGAGACAGTAGGTACAATGGTGTTTTGAAGTTAAAACTAATTATTTTTCCATTTTACCTACAAATGGACACAGCAGAGCAGCAAAATAAGAAGAATGTGGACTGGCATTGCATTTTGTGTGAAAAGCTTACTGTTCTAAATACCTTTATTTTGAAAACCGGAAGTAAATACGCTGTTTCTCCGCATTTACCATAATGCTGAGAATACTTGTACACTCTAAATTTAAGTGCGGCTGATTTGACCACGGAGATCGGACTCACGGCTGGATTGACCGCAGTCTACTAGCCCACTGTTTCTTCTCCACAGCACCGTCCTGTAAATGACAACATCCGGTCTCAGAATATAAAACAACAGGCCTTTTTTCTGTTTCTGTTTTCTAGTGATTTAATTTTTTGTTATATGAAATAGAAAATGAAAATCGAATAATTTTTTTAATTTCGCTTATCCCTTTTTGACCATGAAAAAGAAAAACGCCTTGTATTTCAATTTTAATTTTTGTATTTTAAAACGAAAATCAAATAACCACTCGTTTTCTGTTTTTTAATACCCGTTTCTGAAAGGAAAATCCAATGACCAAAACATACACGGACCCAGTTGACTCACAATTTGCTCCAGTGACATTTAACTCATAACCTTGGACACAATAATCTAGAATAATCTTAATCTTAAAAATAAATGCGCTAGGTGTGAAGTTGCATTCCCCTTCTCTCTTTCCTGTCATTTCCTGCGACCTCTTACTGTCAGTAACGAAGCATAAAATGCCCATAAAGATTGCTCTGCTTTATTTTATTGGAAATATTAAAATGCTTACCAAGTTCGTCCGTGGAGCTTGATGAATTGCCCATGGTGTACCACTGTGTCTCCAACGTAACAAGGACATTGTGTAGCTGACACACACACATCAATCTCATTTAGGTAAGTTCCTTCAGCACACCCGCAGCCATCAAGTGGGGTAAATTCAACGTCACATGTTGAGTCTGACTGACTAAGGGAGCGACAGGTGCGTCCACAAGTCGTCATTTGGTAGCCATACACAAAAGTAGAAGGACAGCCAGTCGTGTATTTCTCTTTTGAAAGGAAACAGGTCCAATCAATGTTTAAATATTAAGAACATATATTGGCTTCATTTATTTCACATTTGATAGTGTGGGTTTAACTTACGGCATACAGTGTCCCTCCATCCATTCAGGTAGACACCTTCAGCGGCACATGCATGGACATAGGAAGATAAGGCAGCACACATGCACTCCTCACTGTCTTCACAGGCACAAGTGTCATAAATACAAGACTGTGGAGAGAAACACCAAGAAGCTAAATGTATAATTTTAATGAGCAGCTGTAAAGTAAAATAACACAAATACATAAATCACACACACACACACACACACACACGTTAAGACTGCAAACAAAAATAAATCACTGCTTACAGCTTGATAGACTGCTGGGTTTATTTCAGAATGGCAATTTGAGAAAATCCCTTCTGGGTCGGACAGCAAGGAGCACCAGTGTTTGGCATATTTCTCTACAAAAACAAAGAAGCATCTTCACTGGCATTGTCTTGTGAAGAATCATATTAAAATACAGTGCATTGATGTCTCTGACCTACCGTTGACCACACTCAAAATGCAAGGGTCCTTAAGTACGTTTGTCACATCGAGGCAGCTTGTTTTGGTTTTCCATGTGTTGCCAAATGCCACAGCCGTTCCCTCAATCAGTCCATTTGTGGTTCTGAAGTCATCAGCTTCTACATCATTAAAATCTCCACAAAGGCCTGGATGAAGATAATGACTTTGATTTAACACTTAATAAAATACTCACCACACTATTCATCATATATGTTACACTAGAATCACAAGTGTTCAAAAAGTAAAGCACACCGTTGAGTTTTCCTTTATTGGAAACACTGGCTTTGAGGTAGACCTGCATGATGGGTGTGAGCTGAATCTCAAGAGAAAGCCCATAGGTGGTGTGGATAACAATGAAGAATGTTGATGGGCTGAAGACTGTTGCATCATCTGCAGGAAAAAATTTAATAAAGAGATGGTTTTAATTTGAGAAAACTCAATATATCTTATAATTTCATAGGAGAATGTACACCAAAAAGAACCAACCACTCACCCACGAAAAGAGGCAGTGTAGAGATCTGTTTGTTATACAAAACCTGTCCGTTGGCTTGAACTACAATCATCTGCAGTGGGAAAAAATTCAATATGACTGTTAAAAATGAACAATCTCAGTGTTTCCAACAGGCGTGACATGGAGAAGATCCAATAAATAGGTTTCACTTTATCATAATAAACTGTAATTTTACCATTTCTTTAGACAGGAGTAGAGTGACTGCAGTCAGGCAGGTTGATTTATCTGATTTTTCACATTTGACCAGATCACCAAGTACACTGAAAGTCCCATTTGTTTCCTGAAGTCAAATGAACACAATTACAAACTGTTTGCTTATTAACAAGTTTTGTAATTTTGTTTGTGAATAAAAGGATGAATTAAGTTTTCACCTCGGAGAGAACATAAGAGCAGTCTCCATGGAAAGTGTATGTTTTATCATCATAGGTGGAGATATGGGAGCCTCCCAATATGGAACAGACACCATGACAGTTCATATCATTACAGCTCCACTGACCCTGGGTACAAGTGCTGTGAACAGAGTTCAGTCACCTTAACTGGACAAACCACCTTAAATACACATGTTGTAAGTATTAAATTGAATATAATGATGTGATTACCAGTTTTTACATGGGCCTGAGTATGAATCCCCTGGTTTGTATGGCTTGCCATTGTGTAAGCAGGAGCACTGATCAACAGCAACACACCCACTTTGGTTAATGTCGTCAAACACAGTCCCTTAGGAGAAACATAATGACAAGATTAGTCATAGGGCAACAGTAAACCCTTATACACACTGCAAACCCTGTAAAAGCCATACATGTATGTGTGGGTATTGCAAAATATTTTTTACCACTTATTTTAGCACCAGAGTGTGTAGAGCCTAGCAGGTGTTATGAGGAGAAAACTAAATTGCTTTTGAATTGCTTCATTAATGTGAATGAATTAACAAAACATAAACACTATATATAGGCTTTTATTGCCTTTATGATAGAGACAGCTGAAGATAGACAGGAAAGGGGGACAGAGAGAGGGGATGGCACGCAGCAAAGGGCCGCAGGTTGGGTTCGAACCCTGGGCCGCTGCAGCAAAGACTCAGCCTCAGTACGTGGGTCGCTCTACCCACTGAGCTAACCAGGCGCCCTAAACAATTTTTTTGGGGTGAATTTAGAATTATTATTATTATATTATTATTAAGGGATGTCAAAGAAAACATCAATGTGATCAGGAAAAATCTATCTACATATCTCCAATCAATACAAAACTTTAACCTTGAATCCAAATTTTGATTTTGACCATGGTCTGACAACTTTCACTGTTAATTCAAAGTACATTAGGCTACACTGTTGTATCGTGAATCTAAGCAGCCAAAGTTAAGCCCTATGTTGCAGCACAACAGTACACAGAAAAGGCTGAGAGGTGAAGGACAAATGTAATGTGATCACCTCACTACATTAACATTAACAAGTAATTACTTCAGCATTTATAGGCAACTAAATACCAAAACATAATAACATAAAATCAAGTTCTGTTACAACTTGACAGTAATTCAGAAGCATGAATGAAGTCATTTAAGAGCATAAATTACTAATTTGTGTGAATGAAACAAAACATCTGCTTGATTCTGTACAAAATCTGTAAATTACCAGGTGGACAGAAGCATCCATCTATGCAGTGATCATCACACACGTCGCTTCTCTGGGGGTCACTGCAAGTGTCAGTACAGGGGCTACCGCATTCATAGTACTCCATGTTGAAAGGGCATGTTTTTGCTGTTCAACACACACCAAAATGTATAATTTAGAAACAGTGATTCTGTTATAAAGGATTATATAATAATAATAAATACAGTGAAAACATGCAAATGCTGTGATTGCTGTTCTTACCACACAGTTGTGCGGTCTTCCATTGTTGTGGTTTCCCGCCTGCATGAGCACACTGACGGGAGTACTCTGATATGGTTGAACACAAGCATGAAGTGCTACTGTTACAGTAGCACAGGTCTTTCATGCAGGCTTTGATAAAGGAGTCAGTATCAATCAGTTCCTGACAGCTGAGGAATGCAGGTCCTGACAGCAGGTTCTCACAGAGGTCCGTCTGTGGGTCAAAGTATACAATGTACTGAAACTGTACCTAAATGTTATATATACAATTATTTGAAGCAAATCCATTTTCACATACCTGATTTGTACAGGTCTGTGTGGCTGTAGAGGAGACTTCTTCACAGTTTTCAGTAGGACCATTGACTTTCCAGACATCCCCATAATATTCAGGAGTTAAAGACTCCCCTGTTTCTAGAGGAAAAAATAGGTTTTAGAAAATGTGAAGACTGATTTTGTGCAGTTTTTTTTAGCTTTATTATTTAGTATTTACCTCTGTTGATGAACTCATCATAAGTTCGGACTCCGTTGAAGTCACCACACAGGCCACAAGTCTGATTCTCAAATTTTGCATCCAGCTCAACCTTAAAAGCAATTGAAAATAAGAACAAGTCTGAACTACTGGCACCATTTTAATGTATTAGTTTGATAATGCCTTTCTTTTTCAGCCATATCAGATAAGAATGTAAAGTGTGAACAGCCACATGATCATGAGTAAGTCGATTCTTTTGACCAACACTGTTTCAAAAACATTTACTGTTATGCTTAAATTTATTTAACATTCATACAACATTTTTACCTACCTGGTACAACTAACTTTGGTAGTGTTTGGTCTTACTTTTTATACCTTTTCATAAACACAGCCTGTCAAGTTTAGTTCAGTCACCAACAGCAGAAATTATGTGTTGATCAAGACACACTTTCTTCCATTTGATTAATCTTAACTAATCTTAATCTCAGTGTCAGTGAATCACTTCCCTAAGCTATCAAATAGCAGTCCAACTAAATATAGTGTATATATTAAGAGCTGAGTGTCTGTCCTTATCTGTAAGTTACCATAATTAAGATAAAAATCAATGCATCAGTGCAATCAAGTATGATGACACAATGAATACACATACCCAGAGGGAGTCTTCTTCGTTCCACATGATGACCAAACCCAGCTTTGCCTCGATTTTGACATAGGAGACAGTTCTTACAATTGTAATGCCAACCTGGCTGAAGGGTATAGTGACACTAGAGGGGACAAAAAAAAAAAAAAAACCCATCCCATTAAAATAATAAGTCTCAAGTAAAATAAAAATAATAAAAGTCACATAATCCAAACAGACTCACGGTTTCTCATCGACTTTGATGGAAGCGTTGGACAGTTCCACAACGACCCCATCCAGTTTCATAGTGACCTGCTTAATGGTGTTGACCCCATTTATCTCCTGCCGCTGGAGCTGAATATTGAAAGTCTCATAGCTTCCCTTACAGTGCGAAGCAAGGATGTAGTTGCAAGTGTAGGGAAGCTGGAAGAAATCTCCATCGAAAGTCTGAAAATGATAGTTTCCCCAGGTACTACAGTACTGGTTGTTGTGAGAGGGGCTCACTGTGGTTTGTGGGGGGGAAAAAATACATTAATCACACTGTTATAAAAATTGTTCATGATTTTTGATTCATCATTCATCTTTGAAAAACTAATTACCTGTGATTACTGGCATTTTGGTCACCATCTGAACCATGACTTAAAAAAGACAGACAATCATACAGTTAGTGCACATTGTCAATAATGTAAAACAAGCACAGGCTGTTTATATTTGTATTATCCAGTATGAACAAGAGAAGAAAACACTGCAAGGTAATTTCATCAATTTTTCTTCCCAGGATAGGGTCCTTAATACTTGATAGACAGTGTAAAACAATAAAGTCTTTGTGTCCCATTGAATGTACATACCAGTGGTCTCAACAGAGAGTCCAATGCAGAGGGTGAACCATGGTATCACCCATTCAAGTGGCATCCTGTCAGTTCTCATGATCATTGAGTACTCTCTGTCCTGAGAAGGATGGGTAAGCCAACTGGTTCCCCACCATCAGTGTCATATTATATAGTTCATTGGGTGTTTGCAGTTTAGGAGGGGTAAAAGATAAATTTTGGGTGTCAACCATTTTTGTCTCGACTGAAATTTCTTGTTAAAGTGAAAGCCTGGCACAGATGAGCACAATGTCAACATAATCATTGTTTCATGGAAAGGCCTCACGGAACTGCTTGTTTAATCAAGAGATATGGAAGACATAGAAAATACAGCATGACTTACATTTCTAAAAGGTAAAAAAAGGACAGGTGGGTTTGAGTTAGCTAGTAGCTCTTACAACGAGTTGGACCCTATCAGCAGGGCTCAGGGTGAATTCAACCAGGAGTATACTGCCTCACTGGTCACCCTGTTCAGTCGTATCACATGCTTATAGCGTGAGCTAGCCACTAGGTCCCCCAGGTCCCTGGATGCTTACAGTGTCATTTGACCACTAGGGCGGCCAGGTTACTTTGATGGATACATCGCATGTAACCCATTTGACCTTTGGTACAAGGCAATGAGTCCTCGGTCTCACCATTACTATGTCAGCAAAACTAAATCACCCCTCTTTATACTCTTTCAATCTGCCATTTGCAGGAATATTTTTTATCTTTTTTTACAATTTAATTAATCATGTAGTGGATATTTTCACTCTCATGTCTTTTCCTCATGCTGACACATAAGGCATGCAATGCCAAACATTTACAGATGAGGACTCAGATCAAGATGTGACACTTTGAGGGGAGGCAGATGTTTAAAATAGAAACACTGTATGTGGTTATTGATAAGCTAATGACATGCCTAGACCATCGCTTAGACACTTACAGGCGTTTGACCAGTCTCTTTGGAATTCTGTTTATGTCAGACCAGGTGACTATCTGTGATCACATCCTGTGTTATTGATGAACCAATTTAAATCATGTGACATGTTCTCTTACCACATTTAAACCATCAGTAACGTGAAACACAACATAATATATTTATAATTAACTTTAATATAATGGCCATTATTATTGGCATGCTGCAGGTTTTGTTCAAAGTATTGCTTGAGTAAGTTAAGTCAAACATTTGAGGTTGTTGGTTGACTCCTGCATTAAGACCATACTGTCAATATAGAGCCATCTACATTTCTTTCAGTATTTGAACTGTTTCTCTGTAACTCAGTGTATTTTGTGTATGTATGTTTATTCTCTTACTATTTTCAAGTATTACTAATATTATATAAACTCAAGAGTTGGTGGTTTACATATTACATTTTAGTTGTATTATCGTAATTTTTAATAGTTCAGTAAATGTTATTTTCACTTGGAAATGTCTTGTTAAAGTGAAAGCCTGGCACAGATGAGCACAATGTCAACATAATCATTGTTTCATGAAAAGGCCTCACGGAACTGCTTGTTTAATCAAGAGATACGGAAGACATAGAAAATACAGCATGACTTACATTTTTAAAAGGTAAAAAAAAGGACAGGTGGGTTTGAGTTAGCTAGTAGCTCTTACAACGAATTGGACCCTATCAGCAGGGCTCAGGGTGAATTCAACCAGGAGTTTATTGCCTCACTGGTCACCCTGTTCAGTCGTATCACATGCTTATAGCGTGAGCTAGCCACTAGGTCCCCCAGGTCCCTGGATGCTTACAGTGTCATTTGACCACTAGGGTGGCCAGGTTACTTTGATGGATACATCGCATGTAACCCATTTGACCTTTGGTACAAGGCAATGAGTCCTCGGTCTCACCATTACTATGTCAGCAAAACTAAATCACCCCTCTTTATACTCTTTCAATCTGCCATTTGCAGGAATATTTTTTATCTTTTTTTTACAATTTAATTAATCATGTAGTGGATATTTTCACTCTCATGTCTTTTCCTCATGCTGACACATAAGGCATGCAATGCCAAACATTTACAGATGAGGGCTCAGATCAAGATGTGACACTTTGAGGGGAGGCAGATGTTTAAAATAGAAACACTGTATGTGGTTATTGATAAGCTAATGACATGCCTAGACCATCGCTTGGACACTTACAGGCGTTTGACCAGTCTCTTTGGAATTCTGTTTATGTCAGACCAGGTGACTATCTGTGATCACATCCTGTGTTATTGATGAACCAATTTAAATCATGTGACATGTTCTCTTACCACATTTAAAGAGTTGGTGTTTCACATATTACATTTTAGTTCTATTATCGTGATTTTTAATAGTTCAGTAAATGTTATTTTGACTTGGAAATTTCTTGTTAAAGAGAAAGCCTGGCACAGATGAGCACAATGTCAACATAATTGCTGTTTTATGGAAAGGCCTCACGGAACTGCTTGTTTAATCAAGAGATAAGGAAGACAGAAAATACAGCATGACTTACATTTCTGAAAGGCATCAAATGCCCTTTGGCCATGTCTTGGTAAAAGAAATCTAAGTTGGCCCTTCTCCTGAACTTAGGAAAACTTAAAAAAAAAAGATTAAAATAGTCCTCCAAATGGCAGATTGAATGAGTATAAAGTAGGGTGATTTAGTTTGGCTGACATAGTAATGGTGAGACAGAGTGACCTGGTGGATATCTTGATGCACTGAGGAAATATAGTGCTACAAAGACAGAAGTACAATAGGCGGAAGTATCAAATATGAGGGTCTATGATGAATGTATACATTTACTTTAAGTTAGCTTTGGCTGTGATTGTCCAAGACACACCAACCAGGGTTTGTTAGAAAGGTCTGACTGTGCTGAATCCAGCAATGTATGATATGTAACTGTAGCAGGTATGGTCAGTCATCTACATTTAGAAGTGTATGACATCTGCCAACAACAACATGAAATGGGTTAATGGCATGTCTGCAGACGACAATCAGGAAACTAAAAGTACACTGCCATATGAGAGAAATTAACAGACAATTAGTTGAAATTGTATTGTTAATTTAACAGGTAAATACATCATTTTCTGGATGCAAAATAATCATTTTATACTAAAGTATGAACATATAACACTCATACCAGTGTTTCCTCTAGGATTTTTTTTAGCAGTGGGGGCAGGACTGTCCGAACAACAATAGCACAGATTGAGACAAATCTTTCCCTTTGACCATGTCCAGAGTGCATGTACACAGTAGATGAAGCAAACATCCCTTTGCTTGAATACTAGACAAGCAAAACCAGTACATCTGTGTCCTCACAATTGATGATAACACGAGAATGTGACCTTGCAAGATGTATTGCATGTAACACCAATCTTGTATCAGCCTCCTCCTGGTTACTGGTTACTCACCATTTTCAAAGCCTCCTGCCAAAATAATGGTCTTCTCTGTTGAGATTCTCTGAGGTCCTGTATCTACTATGTAGTTGCTGACAAAGCTACACAGGGTAGCCTTGTTCCCACTGCACTTCAGGTATTTTCTGTAGTGAGGAACAACTAACATATGTGTATGTAATAACATATGTAGGTCCCTTAACCTGAACTGTGCCTTTGCGTTTCCTTTTAAGGTCTTTTATTGATGACGAATGATCAGATCTGTCAAACCTTTCGTGTGCCAGCCTCAAATGACTTTTTCATGTTTTGGAAAGTTGCACAGTGTTTTCTATTTTCACGGTCCCTGTCAATGCTGGGACATTCTGTTGATTCTCATTTACATTCCAGACAAGCTTTCACACTAGATCTCTTCTGTCTGCTGCCATTGAGACTGCAGTCTTGGATTCTAGCATCTCAGGTTTGTGAAGTTTAGGTGGTTCTGGTCGCTTTGGAGGTTTGATGTACCTGTGATCAAAATTTAAATAAGAAGTTATTATCATATATAACATTCATCCAGCCTTATTATCAACCCAATAAACCATTACTGTTACTGGTGATAGGAAAAGGATATTCACTATAAATAATACGCACAATACAACATTTTAATCAAATCCGAACAAAAACACATTTACCTGTGTAGTTTTTCTCTATCCAAGTCACAGGTGTTTATAGCAGCTAGAGATCTTTGGGAAACCCTTGCAATGCTCTTCTCTGCTGTGAAAACATGGCCTCTTCAGTACACAACAGTTGCTATAGCAGTGGTTCCGAAAGTGGGGGGCGCGTATCCATTGCCGGGGTGTGTGGTACGGCTAAAGGGCTAAATGAAAGGAGGCATGCTTGGACACCGCTAGCAAAACATGGACAAGTTTTTGACTGGGCTCCCACCTAAACGTAAAGCAGAGGATGAACCGTCACCAGATGTGCTCCCTAAGCAAAGCATGGCAAAGACAAGAAAATATGATGAGACATATCTCGCCTTTGGCTTCACCTGTACAACGGTGGGTAATGAGGAGAGGCCACAGTGTGTTGTGTGTCTCAAAATACTAGCCTGTGACAGTCTGAAGCCAAACAAGCTAAGGCGCCACTTGGAGACAATACACCCAGAGCACAAAGACAATCCAGTTGACTTTTTCAGAAAAAAACTCATAAACTGCCGTGCTCAACAGTGTCGCTTTACTAAAGCTGCATCCGTGCCCGCAAATGCCCAAACTCGCTTCGTATAAAGTTGCCTAAAGAGTGGCACAATGTAAAAAGCCCCACACAATAGCTGAAGAATTAATACTTCCATGTGCTACGGAGATGGTTTCAACTATGCTTATTGACACAGCAGCCAGCAAGCTAAGGGCTATTCCTCTGTCCGACAATACCATCGCCAGGCGCATTTATGATATGTCAAAGGACATAGAGGAGCAGCTTAATGATAAGGTGCGTGACATCTGCTTTGCTCTGCAGATAGATGAAGCAACTGACAGTAACAAAGACTGTTTACTGATAACGTACGTCAGATTCATTGATGAAGATGATTTGAGGGAGGAATTGCTTTTCTGCAAAAAAGTTCTTGGCAGAGCCACTGCAGAAGAACTGTTTAAAATCATTGACACTTACTTGAAAGAGGCCAATCTGAAATGGGAGGACTGTGTGGGGATCTGCACAGACGGGGCTCAGGCTATGGCTGGGAAACGTGGAGGG